AGCATTACCTGCATACAACAATACAGATCTAAATGGAAATGTCTTCATATAAGACATTAACTACTCAAACCCTAATTTAAACATCTTAATAGAGAATGATGTTTATATCTGATAGGACAACAACATTTTCTTAAGCAAGCTTGTCATAATTTTTAGGTCATAGTGTTGACCTCACAGCAGTTCACAGCATTACTTATTAAGAGATTTTAGTGTCTGCAGGCAGATATTGGTACCATTTAGGATTTTATACCTGATTTGAAGACTGTAACCCATTTTTCAGCTCATCTATGGACACTGTCACAAATTTATATTGTAATGTAAAGTCACCCCCTACAACGTGTTGCTGTTTGTATCATCTCACGGTGATAATGGCATTCTAGGACAGTAGTACATTTTAAAGTAGTAGGTCGGTCTAGTGACTGCTGGTGTAGGATGTTGTTCTCTCAAACACAATAACAGAATCACCTATACAATATGCAAACCAGAAATAGGGCTGGGCAATAAAACACTAATGATCATTTTCAAGGTATAATTTTTCTCGATAACAATAAAATAAATATTCAATAAATGTTTGATTTAATTCATTTGAATCATAAACTAAGTAGCACTTAATTTTTTCTATTAAGATATTTATTTTTTAGAGGAAAAGGAAATGAAAAGAGATTTTACTTCATTTTTCTCATGCATAAAAGATTTTTATCATAATTGTTTTGAATGTTCTACCACCATTAACCATCCGGTTTCTTCAGCTTTCACTCAGGAGCAAAAATCAGCCTGTCAACTAGTAAAATTTTCAAGGAGAAAAAAAAAACACAAAAGCAAATCTTGATTCCATTAATGACAGCTATTACCTTGTTGCCTTAATGTCACTGAAGAATATACTGTAATTATCGAACAGTTCTCATTGTTGTATTTTCTCTGTCAATCTTCCCTCCTCTCCTTCCTAATCCTAGGGCTGTGGGTAAAACATGCCTGCTCATCAGCTACACTACCAATGCCTTCCCTGGAGAGTACATCCCCACAGTGTAAGTGACACACCTCTCATTTACAGCTGTGCCCACCAGTGCACCTGGGAAGACTACAATCATATGTTGATAGGCAAATTTTTTGATAAATGTGTTAACGTCTATGCACAGCTTTGTCTCTTCACTCTATTGTACATTACCATGTTTACACTGTACACCTCCCTCCCTGCAGCTTTGACAACTACTCTGCCAATGTGATGGTTGACGGGAAACCAGTGAACCTGGGCCTGTGGGATACAGCAGGACAGGAGGACTACGACAGGCTCAGGCCTCTGTCCTACCCACAGACAGTATGTAGATATCTTTGCATTCATACACAGAAGTAACATCTGCTTGTCTCAGACCACTGCCTTACACTGACCACTACCAGCCAGACAATGTTAGCGTGGACACTGTTTTCACTTTGCCAGGATTGATTTGAGTTATTCACTGGCCCATAATGCTTAAGACAGTCTTTGCACTCTGCAGAGTAGAGCCTTGTATCCACAGTACCTATACACTGTCTGGAGGACGGCTGGAGTGAAAGTGAAAGGGCGCTCTTGTTTGCACTCTTTGTCCTTACAACAAACTGGCCTCTGTGCCAAAGACTCACAGGGAGCTGGAAGTTAGTGAGTTTGAGTTTAACATACAGTCCAGATTAGTCTATTAAGTCAATATTGTATGCTATATTTTTAGCTTTAGCATCACACTGTTGATTAATTGTAATGTTAGGTTGTGATTATTGTTGTTCCAGTTGTAACAGAAACGTCTCCACAGTGCTGATTTAAGTACTTAGTGTTATATTGATGTTTGTCATTTTCCCTCCTCAGGATGTGTTCCTGATTTGCTTTTCACTAGTCAGTCCAGCCTCCTTTGAAAACGTCCGTGCCAAGGTGAGAACAACCTGCTCTTTATCTCTGCAGTATGTTAACCTCTGCCAGTAATGATAGTATTAGGTTTAACTGTTATTCCATTAAATTTCATGGTCTGATCTGCTTGGATGAAGGACTAATTTAGAAGTTTTTGACAGTCGGGATTTCAGCCATTTGACTATGACCAATTCTGTCACAACTCTAAAACTAACAGAGACAGAAACTAAACTCAACTCCTAACTTTATTTTTAGTTCTAGTCATAATCTCTTTTCTCCAAATTGCTAAATTTTATTTAAAAAATAACATCCAAAATGGAGGATCATTTCCAGGCAAAAACTAACTGTTAATGTTGGTCACCTGCAAATACACCATGGCCATTTGTATACAAAAGTTTGTTTAATCATTTTAAAGCAAGCTTTAGATGGTATGTATTATTTAGGGTTCACTTGGTAAAGTGGCAGGAATAAATGTCATATGTTGTAACAGAAGGACTGAGAGTTGTCACATTGTGTTGAATTTGGATAAGAACCAGGAAATTCTTTTAGCTACCCACTCATATTCCACACCATCTACCATACTGTCCATCCACATCTCGCAAACTCTGACTCTGTCCTCTTCTCCCTCAGTGGTACCCTGAGGTGAGACACCACTGCCCCAACACCCCCATCATCCTGGTGGGCACCAAGCTGGACCTGAGAGATGACAAGGACACCATCGAAAAACTCAAGGAGAAGAAACTCTCTCCCATAATCTACCCTCAGGGCCTGGCCATGGCTAAAGAAATAAGTCAGTTGCAACACTACACATATACAGATAAAATGTTTAAAAATAACTTTATCATCAGTAAATGAAGGTCTAATACTGAAACATTGCCAGCTTATAATTTTTCTTTGCAAATTGTGAATTGTTATGCCATTTCCTTTTTCCTCTCCTCTTCCCGCCAGGTTCAGTGAAGTATCTGGAATGCTCCGCTTTGACCCAGCGCGGCCTTAAGACGGTGTTTGACGAAGCCATCAGGGCGGTCCTGTGCCCCCCACCCATCAAGAAGAGGAAGAGGAAGTGCAGAGTATTGTAATGGAGAACCACAGGGAGTAGAAAATACAATTGCAGTCAGAACTCAGCTTCTCAGAAGGAAGACGATTATTGCTGGGTTCCCCAAATATCTATTCACCCCGTGTCCTTGCTTACATAGAAGCTCTGGTAGACCAGACTTCCATATGAAAGAGCTTCACAGATTTAAGCAGCGCTGAAGGTTTTCTGTCAGATGTGGTTTACATCTGTTTAGTCCTTTCAAACTGACAGGAATGAAGTGACTTTGCTAAGGCCTTTGGGGAATGTGAGGGTAGGGGATTTGATTTGGGATATGGGGTTGATTAAGGAGAAAGATGGAGGATTTTACAAACAAAAAAAAGTAATTTTTCTCAGACATGTGAAGAAACACTACTTGAATGTGATTTTATCATGAAGTTATTGTCAATGTAACTCTATAAGAGAAGGAGGTCCTGCACTGCACTCTTTTCCCTACACACTAAGAGATTCCTGCTGCCTTGATGACATTTTATTTTAAGAAAAAAAAAAAGTTTTTTTTAGAAGCTTTAATTTCTCCATGTTTCACTGTCAGTCTCTTGTCAGCTGTGGTTGATGAATCGTTTTGTTTACATGTGTCATCTGACTAGACTGAGGTGTTGCCAAAATTCAGGTCATCACTGTAGTCAATCCATGAACACTAAAATTCCTTTTAATTTTGTTTTAAACTGTACAAGATACCATCATAGAGTCCTGTAGAAACACTTTAACATTTGTAGGGGAACCTCGGCATTTTTTTAACCTTCTTTTCCCATGTTTTGTCTATGTGATTAATTGGGACAATTTTTTTTAATTGGTCCAGTATTGAGCAAGCATGCTGCAGCTGGCAGCAGTGAAGCAGGGCTGCAACATACTCTTGTGGGCAATTGCACCCTGGCAATGTACGTCCATTAGTGCAGTCAGATTGTTATTCAGAGTCGGGCAACATCCCTACAAAGCTAGCCTTTTTAAAAAGAGTAAAGAGTCCTTTTTGTTTCACCAGAAACAGTTGCTGTATTGCTCTCATCAAAGTCATCAGACTCCCTACCGCTGCCTCGATCAGTTAGTTTGGGTTATTGTCTGACTTTGGTGTTTTTAACAACACCAGTACCACAAACAAACTAAATAACCAATGCAGCGGTAGAACAGCAACTGCTGTGTTCTGCGAGGTAAAACTGCTGTTTTTATCAATGGAGCCTGGTAGCTTTAACGAGGGCGATATAGCAAAAGGATCTTACTCTTTAAAAAAGGATCTCTGTCAGGATCCTTTATCCTTCCACAGTGTTGTCACACACGTAATAACAATCTGAGCCTGTCAATGACAAAAATGTGGCCTATTAGTCACACAGACACAAATAAGGGGGGAAGAAAATGTTGATGCATACTAAAGTTACCCTGTCACTGACTTATAACCATTGTTGTATCAGCTGCTAAGATAAGTAATAATTACTCTCTACAATTAACGCTTTTCAGATGAATCCATTGCTCTCTTCTCACTATGCGCTGAGTAAACACAGTATTTTATGACTGTCAGGCATGTGAAGGTGCAGTGTAGCCACTGTTGTGCTGGATTATTTGCAAACTACCTGTAAAGGTTTTCATCATTTCATCCTCACTAAAGTCTTGCTCAGAAAGTGCTTTGGATATTCAGGCTTTTTTCTCAGCATATGATGTTCATATTGCTATCATGATGGTATGTAACCATGTCATTTTGACTCCATCTATTAGTGTTTTACGACGTCTATGAGCCAGTGTATTAATGTGTGATGTACAGTGTGAGCAGTGAGTATTCACCAAGTACATTTTATTTTGAAATGAGCAGTGATCAATTGCATGGGTGTTCTGGGGAGCCATTGTAAATCTGGACTCATTTTTGATCAGTGTTTCCATGGTGCGATGGAAGTGCACACTTGCATTTACTTTCGTGCTAAATGTGGTTTCATTTTCACACCATAATATGCAATTTTTTTTAAAGCAAATAAATTCATTTAAAATGCTCTCTTGTATTTTATATCTTCTGTCCAACCACAATAGTTCGGGGGAAAAATCAGTAATTAGTAAGATGGAACTAAAGATTTATTTTACCCCTCATTTGTTTAGTCTATAAAATGTGAAATATGTCCATCACAATTTCCCAGAGCCCAATGACATGTCTCCAAGGTGATAGTTTTCATCTGACCCACCAGTGTAAAACAATGAAAATTGATTCACAATCATAAAAAACACATGAAGCAAATTTGCACATTTAAGAAGCTGAAACCAGCGAATGCCAATTGCCTATGAGGGAAGGTTTATCAGGTTATACAGCATGTATATATATACACACACACGTTTGTTTCCAGGATGGATAAACTTAAGTAAAATCCATTTAGATTGAAATATTATTTCTTGTACTTTCTTATATTGCCTTGATCTTTATCAGCTTGCGTGGCATAAAGGTCAAGATGTCAGGTTTTAAGTACACAGTCACTTCATGGTTGGCTGGCTTTGGCTTTCCATTGTTCAAATACCAGTTTTGCTGACACTGCATCCTCAACTCCCATTCCTGTTATTGTTATAAGACAAAAGAGAAAAAAGTCATGTTTACACTGAATACCTTGAAGAAATTGTTTTGTTAATGAGGGTTTGTCCTGCGTCAGTTAGGGCTTACCAAGGGATTTGAACACTGTTGTCTTGTTTCTGTGGGCGGGTTTTGTCCCGTTAATAACATCTCCAAGCTCTGCGAATACCTCAACCTGAAAACAAGATACACAATCATATGTTTCCACGCCAATTACACACCTCAGTCATCTAAAAGAGGCAGTTAGAAAGCACAACGACGGACTGACCCCAGAGAGAATGACGTCCCCGGACTCAGTCATTGCTCCCTCCCTGGTGTCAGTGTACACCACCGCCTCCTTCATCAACACGTCGTCCAGCTCCCGCCAGTTTGGCCTGCAAGCTCCCACCGCTGATAATATACAGACATTTTATTTTCAAAGTGACATAATTCACAGTATTTCTTTTACTGCAACAGCATTGATAGAAAATCCTGCAAATAATTTTTTAATATACAAGGTAGTTTATTTGTCATTATACAATAAAAGGTTGTATAAAGAAAAAGTTTGTTGTCCCTTCATGCTACACACAGTACTCAACAAATGATAACTGTACATATTATTGTAAACAATATGTACAGTTATTCATATAGACACCTTCAGTATACATACACATAAATTCTGGCATATTTGCAGGGTGGATATCTAAATTTCCTCTTTAATTTTGCTTGTGTTAATTATTTCTTCTCACCTGCCACATGGGCTCCGGGTTTGACCCACTGACCAAAGAGCACTGGCTCTGTACATGTGGTTACTGTCACAATGGCGTCTGCTCCCCTCACCGCCTCCTCCACTGAGATGCACGCTGTCACCGGACCACTGACAGATTGGCAAAACCTCTCCGCTCTCTCTCTTGTGCGGCTCCACACACGCACCTGTGGTGAACATCCAGGGGAAGCATTAAAGACCAAACACTTAAAGTATATGCAACTGTCACAAAACTAATTCAACAGAAATCAGTGAGAAAGTCAACACTTAGGAGAGATATGTGAGCATGATACACCTACCACTTGATAACAAATGTCATTTGTTTAGTTTCCTTTTATTTAGTGATAGTGTGACATTTTAGGAAATACGCTTTCTTGCCCAGAGTTAGTTCAAAACTAATACCAGTCTCATGTCTGTATCCAAAATATGAAGCCAGCAGCTGGTTAGCTTAGCTTAGCAACTGGAGACAAGGGGAAACAGCGAGCCTGGCTCTGTCCAAAGGTAAAGGTTATTGTGCTCACTAATTTAACAACACTTTATATCTTGTTTAATCTGTACAAAAAAAACAAAGCTGCTGCAGGAAATCTAGAAGGGATTTCCATCTAACTCAAGGTTTTAGAAATTGTTTCCACAGTGAATTAAACTGAATTAAAGTATGAGTTTTTTTGTGAAGTATATGGCTTTAACAAAGGATTTATAGCTAGAGATGCATTTATATATCACCATACACTATTGGTGGCCTTAGTACCACTTATTTTAACTACTGACATCTGGCCAACATTGGAACTGAATTTTACTTCCTGGAGCAGAGATGCCAGAAAGTCACTGCAGCTTGCCGGCACATAACAGTGGTAGGTGAATTTTGTTACCTTTGGACAGAGCCAGGCTAGTAGTTTCCCTTCGTTTCCAGTCTTTATATTTACCATACAGATTTGACAATGGTTTCAATCTTGTCATCTAACTCTGGGACAGGTTTGCATTTCCTAATATGTTATACTATAAATACCTTCAAGGTGAATTAAGAAAAAGTAGGAATTCATAAAGTAGGAAAGCTTAAGGTTTTTGTGTTGTCCCACTTTATCGTGTGAATACAGTGGGATATGCTTAGCACACAAATAACTTTCTGTGCAGCCTAGATCCTTTAGGTTCCTATAAAAATCTTATGTTGGAAATATTGAGTCACAATAGTACCCCACTTGTGCTAAACTGATGAATGCAGACTTCTGTTCAGACGTGCTATTCATACATTTTCATAGATATAGTTTTGTAATTGTACCTCTTTAAATGAAAACATCTCTGTGAAGACATTGTAATGACTCAGGGCCTGTTTGCCGGTCCCCAAGATGGCCAGCACCTCTGCTTCAGGACGCATCAGCAGCTGCGTAACAAAAAAACACCCAGACAAGTTAGAATAAGGAGTGCAAGATTAGAGAGTGTGAAAAGATTTTTAAAAATGGAAAACACAAGGACCTTAGCAGAGATGGCAGAGGCTGCAGCTGTCCTCATGCCTGTGATGACATCTCCATCCATGACCTGTGTGAAACAAACAGAATATAGTCACATTTTGTTTGTGTATTTATCTTATTTTAATGTAAAATGTACTTTTTGTCCATTATAACGCAAACAGTGTAGATGAGTTGCCTTTATCCACGGACTGCTAGCTTCTTGCCATTCTGTAAGAGCAACTTGTCTAACAACAGCAAACGCTTCTCTCTCTTCATTTCTCTTGTTGAACAGGACATTTATGTCTGGCTGTTTGTCTTGCCATTCGGGACCTGCAACCATAGATATAGAAATGCAGATACATCGTTCGCAATTTGACGTGCGTCTGCCATAATGGGGCAGTCAAGATCTACTAGTGTGTGTATAGAGAGATGCAGACTACAAAATTTATTGTAACTCACATCTGAACGGATTTAGTTTGTTATAAACGAGAAATTGAACTGGTTACTTATTACAATATTAATTCCACTGGGACACGCAGGCTATCCGATCTATGAACAGGCGACATCAAGTGTAAATTATTTAGAATTTCAGTTTTGTGAGTTTCTCCAAAAATGTAGATTTAGACTTCAGCATTTTGTCCCCAAGGAGGGATTTGTTTTCACAGCACCGTACACATCAGACAACAACAGCACACAGTAACGACATACAAGGACAGACAACAGTACACTCTCAGGCCAGTTCAGCAAGGCCTTTAATTTAAGGTGGCTATGGCTGGGACAAGGCTTTTCCCAAAGCAAGCCCTCCTGCATCTCAGTGCTCTGTACCTGCGCCCAGAGGGCAGTAGGGTAAGATGGTGCTTAAGTGGGTGTGTGATGTCCTATGCTTTTGAGGTTGCAGTGCGTGCAATGGCCTTAATCTTTAGTTCTGCTAGGTTGGGTGTGAGGAGACCAGTTGTTGGTTATGTGTGTAAGTTTGGTCTGATTAGTAACAGATAACATGTTATGGAAGTATGTGGAACAGTACAATAGGATGGACTAAATAATACACTAATAAAACAAGAGGAGAAGATGGGAGGGGCAACATAAGAGTCTTTTAAGCTTGGGTTTGAGGATTATTGATAGTCTTTGGTTGCTCCTTTTAGGGATGTCATGAGTGTGTTAGTCAAAATTGAGTCCAGTATCACTCCGAGGTATTTGAAACTGTGAGATGAGAATGGGATGCTGAAGTGAGGACAGACTATTAGATTAGATTAGATTATTTCCTTTGTTTTGCTGACATTGAGGTGAAGGTGGTTATCCTCGCACCACTGGGTGAAGTGTGCAACAGTGTTGCGATAGTCCAGAGAAGAGTGGATATCTGTGAGTAGGGCAAGAATGGCTTTGTCATCCGAGTATTTTAGGTAAGTCGTGATCGGTGATGGACTGATGCATTCTTCTCCGTTGTTGCCTTCCCCAGGACCTACATGTTTTTATGTAGCATTATTCTACAGCAGGATTTTAATGTGTCATTTATGAGTAATTTATGCATGAAATACTTTTACTCACAGCCTTTACATTCCCATACTCTGGGTCCAGCAGCACCACCGTGGCTTTAATGGCAGGCAACGTTGAACCAACTTCCCTGTCGTAGAAACACACTAACTTTGTGGACAGGAGTCCGTCATTCTCCATGTATGTAGGCATCAATCCCAGGTAGCTGTAAAAGCGAACGAGCCAGCAACAGACAGTTAATGTTTCATTTGTTAAAACTACACTTGGAAGTACCGAACAAGCCTACCCGTTGTATTTCTGCAAGGGCAATGCGGAGCGCACAGGCTGGATCACCTCTGCGATGTCTCGTCTGGAGAATTTCCCCAGAGCCTCCTCCAGACGAGGGATCAGCTCTCTGTAATGCAGCAAGCGCTCAACTTCACGCTCCCATATGATAACAGGAGGTCCAGACATGATTCCCGGTCTCGCGATTCAGATGGGACGATAACTAGTGTAAAAGTGTTTGGTCCAAATCTCGGACCCCTGACTGTTTCCGAGTTATATTCAAGAGCTGCTGAAAGGCTCTTTGAACTCTGTGGGAAGAGGAGGAGCTGGAGCAGGTCTTTCCAGTTCATAGGAAGTGTCTAACTTTCCTGACACAAGAACATTTTATTGAATTTTTTTTGTATGTTGAAGATACATACGTTTAGGTAACAAAATTTAACACGATTTTATCCACAGCTTTTTTTAAATGACTAAAATATTTGATCAACTTATTTCAGAATCGCTTTGATCAAATAACTTTGTGAAAAAATTCTGATGAAATAGGAAGTTTGTAGTTCGAGTGAGACAAGCGGCAGCCAGAACTGAAGTCAAGCCAGCTTCCACTTCGAAAACGAAAGTCAAGCCAGCCCTCGCGCTGTTTTTCTAGGTATTACAGTAACGTCGTGTCGCAGCACATTTCAAAATAAAAGTGAGCTTCTGCTGAACATAATGCAATTGATATGGCAGAAACGATTGAATAAATAAATTAATGCTTAAGACACCACAAGTATCTAAAGAAAATATTACATTCTCACAGAAAGCTTACTACATTCAGCCAAGATTCAAACTCATGTGAAAAGAAAACCTTCTGTTTCCACTAACTCATTTCACTTCACAGTGACAACAGACCACCTCAGGGAGACCCTCTGTCAATATCAGAGCAATCTGATGTAGTTTTTAAAAAAAGTTACAGCCCTTGAAAGTGTGTAATATTTTCACTGAATTTCCTGATTTCAGTTTGATGTAAAAAGGAAACTTCCTTTTTCCACTAACTAATTTCACTTCACAGTGATAATAGACCACATCAGGGAGACCCTCTGTCAATATCAGAGCTATCTGATGTAGGTTTTTAAAGTTACAGCCCTTGAAAGTGTGTAATATTTTCACTATTCGCCAATATTTAAACGCAGTCAAGATGGATGTATACGTGTATGTAGGCTATTTATGTAGCCTATATAAATAGACTAATTGTAGCCTATATATTGATTTATTTTAATTAATACATTACCATATTTTAATATAGGCCTACACTTAAATATATGTTGTGTGTGTATCATGAATGAACTACAAATTTCGTTTTGTTATGCAGCCTAGTGCTGTAAAATGACTAATAAACAACCTTGTACCTTTCTCTAAACCTATGAAAGTGTCTCAGTCAAAATGTAATTCAATGTTTGTAACGTTGATATATTATTGTCGCATATGTTGACATCTTGGAGGTATACAGATGAAATAACTTTTAATTAAAAAACATTAGAACTATAATGTAACACGGTAGTAAAAGCAGGGAACCTGTAGGCTATGCCTACAGAAGCTTAGAAACAAACAACAGAACAACCAGCTGACCAAGATGAAAGACAGAAAGGGGTAAAAACCATATAAGGCCTACACAGTCGACTACTAGTAGGCCTATAAAAGAGGTATTGGCTTCTGATCCTCAAACTTGAGACCTCTATTAAAATGAATGAATTATCAGGGTGATTCTTTTGTGGCAGTCCACCTCCACAGTTTGTCCAGTTAGAACAATTAATGATGTTGGTAATCTGTCCAATCCAATGACACTGTCACAGTCTTTGTTCTTGTGACTTGTTTATTGTAGAAATGGAAATCTAGTATGAGCAGAGGTGTGTGTGTGTGTGTGTGTGTAACAGTGAAGAGAGACTGGGGCTATGTTGTTCTCTTCATTTGTTGAAAAAGGTCTTATGTTGTGAGAGTACCCTGACAATCATCTTTGAAATTTTAACCTTGTCCGTTGTAGATCCAATGTGAAATGTGTGAAAGGTGGTTGTATGAGCAGTGCCTTGCTATGGACACCAGAGACCTGAAGAAAGCAAGAAAATCAAAGTGGAATTGCTCTGTGTGCCTGTAATACATCGCATCCCACCAATATATCTTGTATGGACAAGGAAGTAATGATCCAAGATACACACATATGCACATTCTGAACAATTACATATTTTTTGTAATATATACACATAGCCTACTTTTATTTTATTTATTTATTTAAGATGTTTAATATTTTGTCTATACAAATACATGTGTATATATATCTGGAAAATAATGTGCAGTGTCTGTGTGTTTATATGTGTGTGTATATATATGTGGAAATGTTTATATGTGTATACATTTTGAAAATGGACATGAGACTACTTTGATATTGGCTGACTGTTATTCTGTGGTCACTTGAAGCGGACACTTTCAAGGGCTGTAACTTTAAAAACCTACATCAGATTGCTCTGATATTGACAGAGGGTCTCCGCTGTCACTGTGAAGTGAAATGAGTTAGTGGAAACAGACGGTTTTCTTTTTACATGAGTTTGAATTTTGGCTGAATGTAGTAAGCTTTCTGTGAGAATGTAATATTTTCTTTAGATACTTGTGGTGTCTTAAGCATTAATTTATTTATTCAATCGTTTCTGCTATATCAATAATAATGCCTAGAAAAAACGCGCATCGCAAAACAGCGCGAGGGCTGGCTTGACTGCAGTCAGCCAGAAGCGTTGACAATAAAAATGTGAAATTTTGTAGTTTTCATTAGAATTACACAGTGTGTTTAACATATGTGCGATTTAAGTGATCCCTTAATTATCTTTAGCAATGTATTTAGAGTATATAAATAGTGGTGAGAGACTGGTGACGCAATCCAAGGCCTGGACCACATGGTGGCAACACCTCCAGGTGAAGTTAGCTGCTATTGCATTTGGCTGCAATTAAAACTTGCCAACTATCTCTACAGCCCACATCAATTCTAATATTAATCGCAAATGTCTTTAGATGCATCTGATGTTGTGAAAGGTCCACTACATAATCTGAATGAAAACCACAATTAGCATGACAATTCTAAATGAACACAACACAGTTTAAATAAAAATTTTATTATGAATCAGACAATGCTTTGGCAAACTGAAATGGACGCACTGTCCTAAAAAGTAAGAAAAAAATTCTTGTCATGCATAACAACCATTTCTTTTTAATCAAACAGGAGACAAGATTATTTTCAATCTGGAATATGTCTCCTTCTTCAAGGAGACTTTGTCACAACAGAAAAAAACAAACAAAAAATTCACACAAGAAGTCTCTCAATAGCCAGTTGAACAGACTGAATCTGCGGTTTGAGCTGAGACCCCTCCTTTATGGTGACTGAGGTAGCAATGACAGGGCGCGACACCCCACAGGCCCGGCCCAGGGCCTGCTTGGACCGGACAAACACGTACGGGACGTTCTTGTCCTCACAGAGCAGTGGCAGGTGGAGAATGATCTCCAGTGGTTCAGCATCAGCAGCCATCACAATAAACTCAGCGATGCCTCTGTTCAGGGTTTTAGTGGCTGAGGAAGAAGTAGATCACAGTTAGTAGTACTATATATTTTACGTAATCCCTGTTACATCATCATAAACCGTTTCAGCAGCCGACTGGTTTAAGAACAGCTTCTGTGATGTGACACCACCAACACACTGTACTGTGTTTCTGATTAAACAAAAACAACACCCCTCTAACAACCAGCAACAGTCTTTGAGACAGTATGGGATTAACATCATAGTAGGGCTACAATTAACGACTATTTTCTCGATTATTCAATTAGTTGTTTAGTCTATAAAATGATGTCCTCAAATGTCTTGTTTTGTCCACAACCCAAAGATATTCAAGTTTACTGTCAGGAGTAATGAAAATATTCACATTTAGAAGGTGGGAATCAGAATTTTTCTTAAAAACCAATTAAGTCTATTATTAAAATAGTTGGCAATTAATTTAATAGTTGACAACTAATTGGGTATTTGATTATTTATTGCAGCTCTACATCACACAGAAATGTATTTGCCTATATAGTGATCCATTAAAACAGTCATTTTGTTTTGTTTTAAACAACCAGCTGTCATATTTAATTTGTTACCATGTATGAAAAACAAAAAAGAAAACCGCAGTTGAGAAGCTGCAAGAGGACATTTGAGTTTTTTGTATAAAAAATGACTGAAAGATTAATCAATAATCCAGATATTTGGCGATTCATTTTCTGTCGATCTACTAATTGATTGACTAAGCGTTGCAGCTGTGGCGCTGAAGTACTTGATTCCAAGGTGGGTTAATATAAAGTGCAATTGGACTTTGATGAAGTGATTTTTCCAGGTCCGGATCTTTATAATGGACATAATGAGACGCACAAGTCCAGCTTGTTTGTGCTTATTGAGGTGAAAATACACGTTTCACAAACCTTTCTGATGTCAAATTAACGTTACCTCGGAAAGTGGACAGTCAGATTCCCACTTTGTATCTGGACCCACTAACTAGTTACATTCTTGTCCCAAAACTTTTGTTTCCTCACCTTCGTTAGCCCCCTTCCTCAGCTGTTTGTAGTTTGAGGCTTGCTGCACCAGGTCCAGGATGGTTTTGGTCAGCGTGGCGTCGGCAAGGGGGTAGGCCTTTGGGTTCACTTGAGCTTCAGTCTGGTTATGGTACATAAAACAAAAAAAACACATTAACCACGGGAAAGCAGTAAGGTATGAAGAGATATGGAGTGAAAGACGATGATGTTGTGAGTTAAAGGTTAGTTCGTTCTACAGCAGTTTCTATAGCTTGCTAGAAGATAGCTCGTCTGTGTTAGCTTGTTAGTTAACGTTACATTCGGAACAACACTCACCATCGTGAACAGTTTTTTCTGGTATTCCGGCCCTCTCGGCGAAATGCTTCACGGAGGACTATTTTCTTTCACCTAAGTTTGGAAAGAGCAACAAGACGCAATGCGTATTTTATTTAAGTAGTTTTGTGGCTCTACGAACTCTCTAAGCTCTGTTACAAGCACCAAGTCCTAACGTTTACCGCACGTGTGAAGGGACGCACATGCGCACTTGGGAAACCAGCTAAAACGACCGGAAGTGTCTGCTGTTTGCTCAATTAAATAAAAAATAAATAAAAATGTATACAATACATGCAATTTTAATTTCTACTTGGCATAGGCCTATATGAACATGCGGCTTATTGTTACTCAATGTTTACTGTAATTACTTTTACGTTTTTGAATATTTGTACTTTATGTATTTTGGTTTGTTTTCATTTTTATTCCCGGTACTTTTTTATATCCTTATTATTTGACTGACTTATGCAGATAAATCATTTTGTGTTATAATGCAGTTATGTTGCAATGTTGTTACTTTATTTATTTTTCCCAATAAAAACAAAACAATCATCTGAACAAAATGTCAGGTGTGTTAATCAGCACTGTAAAGAACAACATAAACAAATGCAAAAAATAATAGTAATAGTTTAAAATTAAAACAAGAGAGGACAATGAAATAAATTAAAAGCAATACATTCATTTACAGTCATTACAGCTTTTTTTATTTGTGAAAGATTGTATTAAAGATACTGCTCAAATTGTTTATGGAAAACTGAAAAAAATAAGCTCTTTATGTATATAAAATTTTGGATGGGTGACAAGTGCTTGTTTTTGTATGATATTCAATTATCAGTAGCCTAATAAACCCGTAATATCTTCACAAAAGTATAATGTCAGAACAAATGTGGCACCTGTCTGGTTGTGCAGTGCAGAACGAACATAATGTATTTATTATTTATTATATTATAATTCCTGAATATTTTGTTGAGAATGTGGTGTTACAAGATCCAATTTAATTTATGTGTTATGAGGGTTTTACATCCACTCTATGGGTTTTTCTTAAGCAACAGCCAAACCTTCTCCCATGGCACATTACTGCGAAAACCTGTCCTGGTGGTGAGATGTGGGAAAGAAACAACTATCTCCTTTTGACATAGAGCAGATAGCCCTGCCGTTTTGTTTAGGAATTGTTAAAATAAATGATTCTGAATTGACTTTCTGACACATTTGTACGATCTTGTTCAGTCATTACTGTACAGTTTATCTCCGTGGCAACAGAGGGCGCGCGCTCATTGGCTCAGCGGTACTTTTCCGAGTGAGGAGCGCGCTGGGCATTCTGGGTAGGGCACTTTCACGTCAGCCATATTGCTTCATCGTCCTGCTTGAAGGAGAGACTGGAGATGAAGGGGATCCGGGGAATCAGTCAGCTATCGGTAAGGACTTATATATACCTAATATATCCTATTTATTTGTGTGCCGTACAGCTGCACACGCAGCAGGCGTGCGTTTTACTCTTTGCGTGGTGGGCAGAAGAGTCGTGTCCGGACCAGGCGTGATGAAGAGCAGACGAGGAAGCAGTCAGCTGGAGCCTGTTATAAACCAACAGATAACGTTACACAATACACAAAAATATCAAAATATATTTTCAACATGGAGAATTGGTAACGTTGCCTATGTGTACTGAAATAAGAACACAAGGTTTTTAATGTGCGTATTAAAATAGCCTACAAATAAACCTAAAGTTATTTGTGACTGATTTCACATTGGCTGTCAAAAGTCTGAAATAATTTACCTTGAAAGACCAGCAGGTCTATTTAGTAGGTAGTTCATGAGCTTTAGAACATATTATATGACTTTCATCAGCAGATGGAGTTGATGATGAAGATCATGGGAAAGCTCCTGAAGTGACACTATATGTGGTGAATTACTTTGTCATGTGTCAGAAATCCGTTCAGGGGCAGTTGGTCAGTTTTATGCATGGTCTACTGTAAGAGTTGTACCAAAACATACAGTACTTTACCAGCACAGAAGAAGCAGTGCAGGGTGTCCAGCTACACTTATGTACCATGTGAGGATGCAAACTGTTTTGTGAAAATATGTTGTGTATGAGAAGCACATGTGGACAGAATTCATGTTAAGAAAACTAACGCCATTCATTGCATAATCTTTCATGCCCTCGCATCAGCTGAGCAAGCCAGCAACACATTAGTTGTAATGTCTCGCCCTCCCATGTTCTCTGTTTTTCCAGACAAGGCTTTACGCGGCCCAGGCTGCCCGTAAGGTGGAGTTCACTGGTGCCGCCGAACACGTTAAGTTACAGCCACAGGATGTGCAGGTCAGTGGTTGCTGACATGTCTTTCTTCTTCACAGAGACGATTCTATGCGGCTGCCAGAACAGGCCAGTCCCTTGCCCAGCCCCTGGCTGGCCTCAAGCTCTCTCCAGGGGCTGCCCACTCCTACCAGGACGTCCATGTATGTTGGGCAGTGATGAGGATGGCTGAGCCGGGGTTGGCTGAGTCCAGACAGTGTGGTTTTGGGTCTGAGAATGAAGGGATTAGTTGGGTTGTTTATAGAAAAAGACATCTGTTACTTATGTATTATGTTTTAGCTGTTTTTCTCTTCTCATTATGTTGAGTATAAAATGTCAAATCATCTAAATAAATGTCCAAATGATCTTAGATTACCCTTTTTAAAAGTGTAAACTGAGGCTTATTGGCTGACATGTTTTAATTAAATGTCCGTCTATACTTGATAATAAAACTAAAGGACGTCTCCATATGTGTCCTTCTGTCCAGGTGACCAAACTGCCCAGTGGACTGGTGATCGCCTCCCTGGAGAACTATTCCCCAGCCTCCAAGATCGGAGTGTTCATCAGGGCCGGCTGTCGTTATGAGACCCCAGAGAACCAGGGGGTCACCCACCTCCTCCGCTTGGCCTCCAGCCTGGTAAGATATACTCTGTGTATTTTGAGTTTGAAACAGCTATTTATTTGGTTGTCCTTTATCCCCTGGTTTTAATATAGCATTAATCATACGGCTGTAAAGCAAAACTGTACTCAGTGTATATTTGCCTTCTTTTTTAACTTTTTTTCCCCTACTTTTCCAGACAACCAAAGGAGCTTCCGCTTTCAAGATATGCCGTGGTGTTGAGGCAGTGGGGGGGAGCCTGAGGTCAGTAACCTCCAAGAAACTTCATAACAAACCACTGAAGACAAGTGAAAATTTTCTTATCTGGATATCTATACATCTGTGTTTCTCTGCAGCGTGACTTCTTCCAGAGAGAACATGATCTACACCGTTGATTGCTTGAGAGACGACATGTAAGTCCCTGAATAATAATTTGCGTAATAAAACTACGCAAGTCAGAAATCGTTGGGTTTTTAGTATCAATATTCGCTCCTTTTAGACTAGAAAGGGATCTGTAAAACACTTGTAGCTTAATTCTTCATGAAGAACTGTGGCTGAGGTAAGCATAATGTGAAAGCACTCTCTTACACCGCATTTTCATAAAACAATCAGGCAAATAAATTTGTGTGCAGAATCACCATTCAGCATGTCCCCAATACACTTTACAAAAAGAATACATAGGACAAACCACAAGCAAATATAATAATACAATGTAAAATGAAACAATCAAAAAAAACATCAATGTTAAAATTATGCTAATAAGGCGATAGGCCTGACTAAGTTCTAGGGCAGGCTAATAGGTATAAAGGGCAAAAACATACATACAGCACGAAAAGTTTCAGCACCTCATACCACTAACGCGTTTTTGTCCCTCTCTGTTGTTTGTCTACAGTGACACAGTCATGGAGTATTTGATCAACGTGACTACAGCCCAAGAGTTCCGGCCATGGGAGGTGTCAGACCTCACGCCCAGAGTGAAGATGGACAAGGCCCAGGCTGCACAGAGCACTCAAATAGGTGTGCCTTTATTTCACTTGCAATGCACCCACAGACTGTTTATTTGGTCTGCAATAATCTGACTGTTGACCTCATCCCAAATATGTCTTTAGATCTGGATGTCCACAGTGGTTTATTGTAGAACTACTTACTTTTTATTCCCACCAGTGTGCTTCAGAGCATAGCCTGATTACTGATGGAAAATGCCACTTTGATTACACCATAAGTATGATGCAGATTCAGAAAGTATATGGTATTATCAAGCAGTGTCACACATTGTGAAAAAGCTGTCATTGTTTGAGTTGTAAACTGTCAAATGCCCTGCACTAGGGCTGCACGATTTGGAGAAAAAGTCAAATTGCGATTATTGTGGGTAATATTGCGATTACGATGTGATGGAAAAAATAGTACTATGAGTCTACTTGCTTGATTATCAAGGGAAATGCACAAAATACTGACATTTTGAAATGTATTTCTCAACTCCAACAAAGTTAAATGGGGACTTGCAGTTTTTCAGCCAGGGAAGCTATACGGTACACCAGGAGCACCAACACAAACCACGCAAACAAGATTACTGAACAATATGGAGGAGGAACTTGTGTAAATAATTGTATTAGTATAATATTACAACACTAAATAAAAAGTATAATGTTCTGTTAATAGTATACTGTTAGTATAATGTTAATATATTAGTTACTATATATAATAATTTCATATAATAGTATACTATTATACTACTAGTTGAATATTAAATCTAGGGCTGCAGCTAACAATGATTTTAATAATCGAGGTTTTGTTACAGATTATTATTTCACTGATTCATCGATTAAGAAATACTTTTGCTTGGCGACAGTAATAAATGTCGGAGCGAAACAGTGTGTGCTACATAGTCATATGGATTAAACGAAGCCTCCATGCAAACAATTTTCGTTGATGCTTCTTAGTAATGGAATTAATCGATAAATCATTTCAGCCCTAAATAAATCTGGTTACAGCTGTTTATTTCTGTGGATTGTGTTTATTCATTAAATCCCTTTGGAAGAGAATATGCTCTAGATTAGTCTCTAATTTGTTAATGCTTCCTACTAACTTGTCAATAATCATATTGTTCAACATTTAAAGATTTGCTTTAGCACGTCAAACTTTTTTTAATGTCCCACCCTATCCAGGCTGTGACACTGACGAGCACATTGGCTTTGAGAAAAGTTGAACATGTTAAACAACAAATGTCATTAATACACTAACATTAAATGGCTAGCTATGTAAACCCAAACCTTTCTTACCTTCTTCCTACTTTCTTCTGTCTTTCCGCTTCAGTCTGACTATGTTTTGAATTATTAGCGGAGGGGCGGGGTGGGGGGTGGTTATGATAGGTTGTTGTATTTAACGTTACTCACACACAGCTCATAAATCATTTCTCTGGTTTGTACGTATCCGTTTTTAGGGGCTCCTGCGAGAGCCCGGTGTGGAGTGTATAGTGAGCACACTGCAGAGGAGAGCGTCACACACATACTCAAGTGACAAAAGGAGATTAAACGGGTGCACCAAATCCAATCACTGCACCATACAGGCACATATAGTGATTTATCAATTAGGAAGACGTCACGTTTTAGCTTTAACATCAGAATATTGCAGTTTGTGGTCATGGCTCTTTCTGTCTTTTCCAGGTGTGGTTGAAGGTCTGCATGGAGCTGCCTACAAGAATGCTCTCTGTAACTCCCTGTACTGTCCTGACCACATGGTTGGCAACATCCAGTCTGAACATGTAAGTATTTTTCCACTGTTTAGTCCTTCAGACTTATGGATACCCATTTAAAACCTCTTTCTAACGCTTGTATTTTTAATCCAGCTGCACCAGTTTGTCCAGAACAATTTCACAAGCTCAAGAATGGCTCTTGTTGGACTTGGTAAGGGTCATTATACCTTTTAACATAATAACACTATAATGATATCAGTACTGTCGTAACTTGATGTGTGTTTATATGATACTATGAATGGGAATGGATGTCAAAGTAACAAACCAAGCAATCATCAAGTTTATGATGTTTCTCTTTTCTTCAGGTGTCGACCACGCAGTGCTGAAACAAGTTGGGGAGCATTTCCTCAACATTCGCAGCGGGACGGGCACCACAGGGGCTAAGGCTCAGTACCGTGGAGGTGAGCTGTACCAACGTTGTAAAACATCTGCGTGTTGGTCATACGCCACTTGAAGTTTAACTGTAGTTTAATACTTCCAACCCAAGAAAATGTACCACCCTGAATGCCTCCCTGTCTCGCCCGCTCCTGCCTCTCTCTAGGTGAGATTCGTCTGCCCAGCACCAGCACTTTGGTCCACTCAGCGGTGGTGAGCCAGTCAGCAGCAGCGGGCACCAGCGAGGCTCTGGCCTTCAGTGTCCTGCAGCATTTACTGGGAGCTGGTCCGCATGTCAAGAGGGGCTCATGTGCCTCCAGCAAACTGGTCCAGGGTGTTGCCAAGGCAACTGCTGACCCCTTTGATGTGAGTGGTTGTCAGTTTGTAATATAAACTTGTAAAACCGCTCATACATCCATTTTGACTGGCTCACCTTGTTTTGTGCATCTTTACCGTGAAAGCTCTATACCTTCTCCTTCATATGTGTTAATGATTGCACTGCCTGTAAAAACATTTTCTTTTTTCTTCCTTTACAGGTTAGTGCGTTCAATGCAAGCTACTCTGACTCTGGTCTGTTTGGGGTCTACACCATTTCTCAGGCTGCAGCTGCAGGTGATGTAAGTATCCCATAGTCATGACAACAGCCATGTTTGTAGCTGCAGTCTATTTGTGTCAAAATTAAACTGGAAACAGTAAAATGTCTTGACATAATCTCTGTCTCTCCAGGTGATTAAGGCCGCTCTAGACCAGGTGAAGGCGGTTGCTAACGGTGGAGTCACAGCTGCTGACCTCACTCGGGCCAAGTAAGACACACAGACAGAGACACAGCTTTGATATGAATAGTTAGTAAACACTTACTAGTAATTCCATTGTCTTAATTTTATTCTTTCATTTCAAAATGTAAAATACACATATGTAAATACACTGCCTGTCATAAATATGGACAGCTGTGTGCGTGCATTTGTTACAGTTACAGTACTTATGATGTCGACAACTTTGGTAACATAGCCAAATATCAGGCAAGTGCAACAACACAAGACACAGCAAGCCAGCTAATAAGTTTTTACTTACTAGTAGGGCTGTGTATAGGACAATATCTATCGTTTGACGATAGAAAAACGTCTATCATTTAGAATTATGCTGTATCGTTTATATCGTTGTCGCAAATTCCACACTTTACCGTAATATTGAGTGAAGGAACGACGCTATGCACTGCGGTGAAGTTTGCTTTACTTTGGAATTTGAACCACTAATATTCAACTTGAGACTTACTTCGGCGTGGTCCGTTCTGGTTCTTCCACACGTGCCAGTAATAATAATAATGAATTACAATTATATAGCGCTATATCATAGATACTCAAAGTGCTTCATAGTGAAGTGGGGGGGACTCACCTCAACCACCACCAATGTGTAGCGACTTTTGCAGAAGAAGAAATTGCATTAAATATAATGGACGAGCCACACAACAATATCTAGCAGTTCCAGCCATGATGGGCGTGTCAGTCAGGTAACGTTAAATGATTTGCCCACGGACATTACATTTATTCATTTAGCTGACGCTTTTATCCAAAGCGACTTACAATTGCTATATATGTCAGAGGTTGCACACCTCTGGAGCAACTAGGGGTTAGGTGTCTTGCTCAGGGAGACACTGGTGTCTCACAGTGTATATAAAGGCATGCGTCTTATCCACTGCGTCACCACCCCCTACAGCTTACCTTATAGTTCAACAAGACATGCTGTTGTTGTGATGTTAGCTGTAGCAGCACTAGAGTGAAATTGCTGTGTCGAACTGCTGTGTTGCTCTGGGACCATCTCGTCCTCTCATGTTAGCTTTGCAGCAGTAAGTGCCGTCAGTTTGCTAATCCATAACCTAGCTAACATTAGTTACATTACTTGCTGTGTCGTTGTTCACTCTATCATTTGTCATGGTGTTGGATTTCTCCCTTCTTAGTTCTCACTTACCCCACCTTTATAATGCAGAGAAATATCCCGAGTTCCAGTTGGAAATGCCATATTTCATTGAATTTACAAAAAATCTTCTATATTGGGATGTATATTGTTACTGGGATATGAAATGACATATCAGAAAAATAATTTTTTGCCATATTGCACAGCCCTACTAGTCTAACAGAAAGAAGGCCAGCACGGCATTTGTCTTGCAGCCTTTCAGCTTGCTCGTTCACTCTCTCTTTTTCTCTTCCCTGCTTCCTCTGCCATTGTCTTCTTTGGTCTCTTCATAACCTCTGCCAGGAAAGCCATACTGAGAATCCAGAGCCTGCCTGGGATTCCAATGCTACATAGTGCTAGAGCAGGCGCTCCACACCCAGAGTGGCAATGACGGGGACGCCATCCTCCCTAATTAGAAGTCATTGTACCATCAAAATGCTTTTGAGGCTGTTATTTTAAGAAAAAAATACTACATCCCTGGTAAAACTATTGTCCTCAACATAATCTTGCTTTAAAGTGAACTGGTTAACTGATTAAAGGGTCAAAACTGAACTAATTAAAACATTTCACTTCCTTTCCCCCACCATACTTAACATTCAGAAGAAAATATATCAAGGTAACTGTTTTCCTCCTCGTTTGCACTATTGTAGCTTATGATGTCCTTGTCTTTGTTTTCTCTGCAGGGCCCAGCTGAAGGGGCAGTTCCTGATGTCTCTGGAGACTTCAGAGGGTTTGCTGGAGGCCATGGGCACTCAGGCTCTGACTAGCGGATCCTACTGCTCCTCTGAGGAGATCTCTAAAAACATTGACAACGTCTCCTTGACTGACATCGCCAACGTAAGACATTTGGTTCTTGTCAGTGCTTGGTTATTTTCAGGATGTTTAAGAATGAACATAGTTGTACTGTATATTACTGAATATACTTCACTTAGAAAATAATTTCAAGATTTGCTGAATTCTGTAAAAATTTGTTTTTTTAGTTAATAATGGTGTTCTTAACTTTCTTGCTATTTATCTCCAGGCTGCCAAGAAATTTGTGTCCGGCAAGAAGACTATGGCATCCAGTGGCAACCTTGTAAAAACACCCTTCTTGGATGAGATCTAAAGCCATGCTCGACACCTCGTACTGTACCTAACTCTGACGGCAAAGCAGAATTTGTTTCCTTTACATTTTGACAAAGGACAGAGGTCACCATCACCTTTTGAAATGTTATTCTGAGAGATATGATGTCAACACCACTGGTTATTTATAGGTGTTGTAACACTATTTTCAGGTGATGCTGCTCTGGTGCATCAACAGTGTCATGCACAACTCATCTGTCCATGTTAACTGTATAGCTCATGTAAAATAATGAATAAATTCTATCTACCTTATAGAGTTTTAGTTGTTGTTGTGGTGTTCTATGTCTTGGATGCTATAAAATAAAATGTATGACCTCTAGCTTTACAGTTCATTCTTGATTCATGTAAACAAAGCAGTCCCTACTCAAGGTCTACTTGCTTATTCTGGAGCTTTTGACCGAGTCAGGCTAAATTAATGATTTGTCAAGTCAATGGAGGAGAAGTCCAAGAAGGGAAAACTCAATCTGCCCACAAAGACTGTAGTATAGCTCCAGAGCAAGCAAGGGATGGGCCCTCCAGTTTAATAAGTGCAACTTTTGAGTATTAACTCTTAGAAAGGAAAGGTACCAGTCTTCATTGCACAATGTGCTCAGAGGTGTTTCAGCAACTCCTTTAAATGACTCCCCTATGCATAATTTATGGTGATGAAAACTACCATGAGCGTCGGTTATTTTCTCGCGAGAGTTATCCACTACAGACATGGAGACGCAAGCTGACTGAATTGTATGTTTCCATCGCTGAGAGAGGACAGCATCGCTGCGAAACACTCGCTGCGCTGTACAGAGGTTTTTTCTTGAAGGGGTGAAAAGACGGTCCGCAGCATATGAGTGTGGAGATGTGAAGCTCTCGGAGAGCGGTTTGCTGCGAACATGGGCGGCGTTTCCGTCTGTGTGTGTACAGAGGAAAGAAAACGCGTTCATCTGGAGGGAGAGAGGTCTGGGGCTCCGTGCAGACTCAGGAAACAAGTCGACTGCATGCACGAATCCCCCTTCACTTATAATTAACCATCGATTAAAGCAAACACTTTATGTAAATTATCCGCTCGCCTTTCCGTAAATGTCGCTGGGATGCATCCGGAGCTAAGCGATCCATGAGCCCGGGCAGCGATCCTCTCCTCCTGGGCTGGAGAAGGGACAGCAGGTCGGACCAGGCTCGGGTATTGCAGGACTTATGAAAAGGTTATCTTTTGAGGGAACCGCCTGGGATCAAACACGATGTGGAGACAAATCGTGGATCAAAACGACCCCTTCACTATCACCTCAAGTTCCCTGACGCTGGCTGGGATGATGGGACACGAGATACGGGTTACCGACTTCTAAATGCCCCGCCTCCTTTTAGGGCAGATAGAGGCACCAAAACACTCTGACCTCCACCTGTGTCCACCGACATGGATAAACTCACCGTGATATCAGGATGTCTCTTCCTCGCTGCAGACGTCTTCGCTATCGCCAGCATCGCCAACCCGGACTGGATCAGCACCGGGGACTCAGCTGGTAGGTTTGTTGTTGGCACTCTGTTCTGAAAAAGTGGAGTTTTACTTGTTTATGTAGGTTATCCCTGGGGAAATGAAACTTCTAATCTAAAAGGTAGGCTACTCTGCTACCACCAACAGTGATTTAAGGAGACTTTGCAGACAACAGAAAATCACAAAGATATAAAAAGATAAAGTTTTCTGCACCCCTTAATCATGTGGTGACCACACTTTATTTTGTTGGGACCCCATGGAGCGTCCCCCAGGCTAGGAATCAGAGGAATGGTGAGAAATTTTACAATGTAGGGGTAGTGAATGAGTGGGAACTAAACAAAAAAGGAAATAGTGATTACTGCAACAATGCAGTGTCTAAATTGGCTCCTGAGTTCAGCAAAGGTCAAGAAAGATCATCTTCACCTGTCCTTCAACATAACATAGTAGTGTGGCACTCACAACATGTGAGTTTGTCCTCAGAAGCCACCCACATTGTAAATATATTCAGTCATTATTTCTGTGCAGTTTAAAGGCCCAACACTAATTTTCTCAGTCACCTTCTTACTGTAACTGCCATTAAATCCTACATGGAAAAAAAAATTCTGCCAAAGTTGGAACAGTTTTGGTTATTTTACATTTTTGTATTTGTGTTTGAATCTGTGCTTTTCTCTACTGGTTTGAACTGAGGACGGGATGAGCTGTAAAAAGTTGATGTCACATGTACACCAATCAGGATTTTGCAGTATTTTAATCAAAATGGGATGTAAAGCATTCCGTCAAATGTAGTCAAACCCCACCAACACGGTGCTGATAAAGCAGATCAGAGCGTTTTAAGTGTTTACAAGAGTACACTGCATGCTTGGCATTGCACTCTCATAACATTGTCGGATTCGTGATAGACAGTTAAAAGAAGGATAACATTACCCACCATGCAACTACATTACCCACCATGCAACTCGACCCCCAATGGTTCTGTTGCAGATTCGGGTGTGTTATGTTAGTAACTGCTAATGTAGCCTCAAGCCGCTAGCCCCAAGCAGAGATGAGGAGCGGGCTAAAGAGTTCTGGTAGCCTCACTTCTTTCTAACTCCACCCCCCAATATTTTTCATTTTCAAACTTTAGAAAACTTTGTCTTCAGCTCCAAGGGACATTGACTCAAGTGACATCACCTGAGGACATTTATCTCACTTTACACTGCTCTCTCCGGAGTCATAAAAGGCTTTGTACAACTTTTTTCACAGATGTAGAAGTATTATCTATACCTAAGAGCTGTAAATAGAATGTCATGTATAAAATTGGGAGAGTTCCCCATTAACCTTTAACTAAGGATGATTTCTGAACTTTATCTTTAATTGTTTCGTATTTAGCCATGGGTATTTAATGTTCTAGAGAATACTTGATGTCTTCAGGGTCTTTAAATAGTTTTATTATGCTCCACTACGGACAGAGGATTGTGTCTGAAAGGATGTATTTGTGGGCAGATTTTATTGATACAAGATTTAAAGTGTGTGAATGCAGGTGTTAGGCTAAATCCCACTATCTTCTACTTACATCCACCCTTCCTAGTTTTGGCAATAGAGTAAAATTCAGATACAAAGTCCAAAACCTTAAAATGGACTAAAACTGATGCAATAGACAAACAAACCACTACAGTATATACACAGCTGCCAGCGGGGCTCGTCAGCCTCCAACCTAATGCTACAGTAGAGTAGAGATAAGCACATAACAGCCGTGCTGAGTGGTTATTATGGGATTTAATTTGTTATAAAAAATACTGACTGCAGCTGCAAGTTGAGTAGGACTACATAACAAGCAGTTTTTCTTGCATAATTAAATGAGTAACCACGGACAAATCTTTTTTATCTCAATCATCATAATACAAAGTGGACCGAAGTTCAGAATACCTCACACTCTGGAGGGTTTTACCTTCCCATTTCTCATAGTACATGATGGTGTGAAATGACTGTACTTACTGTACTAAAAGCCCTTTGTTCCGGTTTAATTAGCCGAATAGTAATAACCTGAAGGCAGGATGTGTTGTTTGGGAATGAAGATGTGTGACTTTTAATTAAGCCTCCTGGGAGAGTAATGCTTTCCACCTGGAGAATTAAAGCCCGTCTGGCTTAGTCGTGACGTATTTTATTTTGGCGGTGTCAGAGTTTTGTGTAAATGTAGAAGTCAAAAACATAAAGATAATGATTGTGTGTGCAAATATGTGTTTCATAATTTTCTCTCAAACAGTGCCTCTGCACATAGCCCAGCTCTGATTAATCTATTTAGTTACCTGGTCAGATTGTTTAAACACCCAGAGGAAGGGGGGGGGGGGGGGCATTAATAAGGTCATTGTGAATATGTAGGTAAATCTGATAACTTTTTATTGGTTATCACGATCATTTAGAATCACTTTGGTTTATTATAGCTACTATTCAAAAACTGCTCTGTCATTCATATTGCTTTGCCATTTACCACAAGGTCGATGTTAGTAGTGTGTGTGTGTGTGTGTGTGTGTGTGTGTGTGTGGGAAACCGCGCACCAATAGCACTCTGTGTGTTTGTGTGCTTAAGTGTTGTGTTGAGAGATTTGAAGCAGCAGGAGAGTGTCTGAATTTTCAAAGTGGTCACTAAGTATAGGTTAAGGTTGGCCACTTGTAAAACACATACACGCGCACAAACACAATGCTTGCTGGTATTCACACCACGGCTATGGCAAACATCAGATGTCTCAGCTGGCAGCCTCACTCAGAGGTAAAAAAATAAATAAAATTATACTCCATGTCATGCCACTCACCACTGTATCCAAATCTGTATTTAATGAGCAGAGTCAGTATGCATTGCAGATAACTAATACTGCATCTCAATATTACATTTTTGGTCATTTCTGGTTACCTTTTAAAATACTGGATAATGCACAGCAGTTGAGTGACGCTTCCCACAATCAAAATATTATGTTTAAAAAGCAAGGCAAAGTTTTAAGTGTCATTTCTGAAATAATCAGAACATTTTTTCTTTTGGTGGCTAAGAAGAAGCTGTTTAAACTGGGCTAGTCCTTTTTTCTCCTCATTTCCCTTTATCCCATTTTAACAAATGCAAAGTGAAACATCAAATACATCACATTGTAAGAAGTGAAGCATGCGCTATTTCCTACCGCTTCTGTCTTTTATTAGTTTGGTAAGGCCACAGTATGAGTGTAAAGACCTTTTAAGTACTTGTAAGTATTAAGCTGTTTATACACTCTGATAATACTAATCCAACTCTTATTTGTACTAGCGTCCATGTTGATACCACATTCCAGCTTAAGAGCACATGAACACTCACTGAAGATGGAAGAACGACTTCACAACTCGGGAAATCACCGGGAGCTGCTGGTTGCAATTCACATCCCTCACCACTACATGCCACTAAAACTTACACACTGAACTTTAAAAATATTGCTTTCTTATTCAATTTTTTTATTATAAACAAAAATCCACATTCGATAATGGCATAAAGCAAAAACACACTTTCTTTTTTTGGTATGCAGATTCCAGTAAGCCAGGAAACTAATGCACAGTTTACACTGTCCCCCACCCCCGAGGTATGAAAGGATGTGTTGAGAGGGAACAGGATGTCGTGCGTATAGTGGGAATAGGTTAGCCTGTAGGAGGATGTGGTTCAACCTGGTCCTGGTATCATCACCTAGTACTGCAGCCATGACCAGGAACTGAAGCCAATTCAAGCCAACAATAAATAATTAAAGGATTGTCTCGAGAATCTGTCTAAATTCTGTCTTCTGTTTTGTTGTGTTAATTGTATTTTTCTAAGGTCCATAATTTTACTTGTACATATTTTGCACATAATTTAAAAATAGTAAAATAGTAAATTGATGGGTCCTTAATGGTTTTAAGTACCAGGTTTATTCAAAACAAGCTTATTTTATTTAATTTTCCTCCTAATTACAAGATGTTTCAGTGCTTCCCTGTGTTCTTCCACTCTTTGTAATATCGGTTACTTGTAATTTTGGCCATCATGACAATTATGTTAATTCTTCAGACGATGGGTTTAAATTGCCCTGAATAAGTCCATAAAATGTATAAAGCCCATCTTTCTTCTGTTTCTGCTTGGCAGGCACTAACTGCTTGCTGAAGATAATAAGTAAGAAAAAGCAAGAAGACAAAGGAATAAATGAAGGTGTGGGAGGATTTAATTTTGCATTCATACGCTCTGTGCGGTGTGGAGGCTTCTACGTACTCAGTAATAATGCCTCTGTCTCTCACGCTGATGCTTTGGTGGTTCATGCCACAACCCTGAACCAGTTTGACGTCACACATGTATCACTGAGGGTCACTGCTGCCTTGGCACACCGCCCACCAGAGTATTTCCATACCAACAGGTTTCTCGGGCCCCGGGGCTTGTGGGGAATCAAACTCCTTGGAGGTTGTCATGTCTTACAGCCAGAGTCAACATATGAACAAATGATGTCATATGTTGCTGTGCATTATACTGAGTTTATTATGTATAGAAAGCAAACTCATCAAACAAACCGCTGTACTGCCAGCTACCAGTATGCTATAAGCTGCCTTTCATATAATGGATTTAAAACGCAGTAGACTGTGGAGTATTATTATTAACAGCCACTTTGTACAGGCTAAAAACCATCTGGGATGATATGTTAGCTACTGTGGAGCCAGGCTAATGTTCTATCTATTACAATCCCTGAAAAATTCATCCAATCTGAACGGGGTTTAAAGCCTCTGAAAACTTGATTGAGTTTTATTTTGTAAATTAAAGGGATTGTAATTGATATTTTTATAATAAAATGTATGAGAATGTGAAAACTATGTGACAGTGAGAAATGGGGTGCTTGTAGTAATGACCCTACAGAAATAACCAAATCTGCAGCTCCCCTCGCCTTTAAAGAGCTTTATAGTGAGTTTCAGCTCATTGTTTAGCTTTATGGCCGCAACTTTCCTGCTTTGGTTCACTATTATGGTGTAGTTTTCGGGCCGCAACAGGCAGCTGGGTTTTAATAAAAAAAACTCTACCCTGTGTACATTACCCGCTCAGCACCAAACAGCAGACAGACACAGATAGTGACTCGCTGGTGAACATAGTGGAGCATTAGGGTTAGGTGCTAATGAGCCAGATATTTCCCAAAGGAGTTAACCAAAAAAATGGTTGATAACATTCTCCAGGCGACCAGAAACATGACTCCAATTAATGCTAATGTTGCTCCGTAATAACTGACTATGATTTTGTCGCTTTATCGATGTATCCAACAAGAAGCAAGTGTGAAATAAAAGCATATTTAATAAATGTAGAATTGCAGTTAAAAAGTATTAATACAAATGATCCCTCTCTGTCTCCGTCAAGGATCTCTGACTGTGGGTCTGATCCGGCAATGCCAGACCATCCACGGCCGAGACCGAACCTGCATGCCCCCGCAGCTGCCCCCAGAGTGGATCATCACGCTCTTCTTCATCATCCTGGGCATCATCTCCCTCACTGTCACCTGTGGTCTGCTGGTGATGTCAAGCTGGCGCCGCGAGGCCGCCCGATACGCCCGATGGATCGCCTTCACAGGGAGTAGGTGTTCACCGTCACCTCTCATCCTTTCCGCTCTCCTCTCTTATTCCAACCACAAATATGTCTCTGTGGTGTGATCACACATGCAGGTGACGCTTGTCATCATGTGGAGATTGAATCAGTAGTGTCAAAATTTCAATTGGAATGCATGTCCATGCAATGTCCAATCCACACTATCTATGGACGTATTTAATTGTATCTCTTTTAGCAAATGGCATTCCAGAGTCAAGGACAGTCTCTTAACCATCAAATGCTTTAGAAGACTGTTTGTATCATCTTTATATATTTTGCGTCTTTCCTTTGGTAGAAAGCATCAGCAACCTTGGTAAATATAGATAGATAGATAGATAGACTGATCACAGAGCGGTTGTACAGTTCAGAAAAGGGGGTGTGTGGTGAGCCGATTATCTTACTGCAGTGGTTTATTATGGTTTTATGTTTGGCAGTGAAGAGGTCATACCAGGATGAAATGTTGAAGGTGAGAGTGGATTCAATGCGTGAACAGTAAACCAGAGTTATATCCTTGCTGACATGAAAAGTCCTTAGTTTCCTCAGCAGGTAGAGGCGCTGTTGTGCTTTTTTGTACACGGAGTCAGCTGTTGTATGAATGACAGGCAGGTGTTGATCTCTGTTCCCAGGTATTTGAAGGACTCAACCTGCTCCACCAGCTGACCCATTGAGAGGTTGGAAGAGATGGGAAGATGTTTTGACTCCGCCACAGCACAGCTCCTTTTGTATTGTTCCTTTTGTATTGAGCTCCAGTGAATGTTCAGTAAATGTTTGGACCAGGTTGTTGACTGCCTGTCAGTATTGGGATAGGGCATCAGTGCCGGTCAGGTGTGCCACCAGGGTCATGTCATCTGCGTACTTAAAAAGAGTTATTCCTTCACTGCTGCCGGAAATGCCGTTAGTATAAGCAGAGAAGAGAATGGGTGATAAGCATAGACCGTATATTACTGGATGAAGCCACCCTGCTGATTTAAATGGAGAGCAGTGAAGCCAGTTTTGGACCAATAAAATACTACTACAGGGCTACTTCCTGTTGGCACCACCGTCTACTGCACATGATCGCGCAGCATAACCGTGGTTTAATGATGTAGAACAACGGCAGAAACACCATAATTCTAGTAGCTGCATAGCTTCGCCAACAAAAAGTTTCATGGCTCAATGTGTTTGTCTGACTCGGATCGTCACTGTTTAATCAGCCCACCTACAAGGTTCACCTGCCAAACACCAACACAGCGGCTCTGATAGTTTTTTTTGATTGCGGAGAGTTTATAATCTAAGCAATACGGTTACATCTCTCATGTGCGATGGGCTGTCACAGGGTTTGACGTCATTTTTGGGCCTACATGGATTCCTCCATGCAGGCTTTGGTCAGCTTCACTGTCCAATCTCTGGCTTACCCCCTTGGAGATGAGACATAGCCCGGTCTGTCCTGTAAAAAATTCTTTATCCATAAAATCAGTGGGGGGGGGACCTGGAGGTCAGTGAGGCAGTGCAGCAGGTTGTTTGTGTTTAGTGTATTAAAAGCAGAAGAAAAGTCCATGAATAAAATTTCTCGTGTGTGGGTGTGCCGAGTCCAGTTGCTTAGTGACAGTGTCTAAAAGTGTGAGACATGCATCCTTTACACTACGTTTTGCCTTATAGGCAAACTGAAGTGGATCCAGTTTGTCTGACAGTATGTTCGACAGGTGGTTGCACACAACTCTCTCCGTACATTTGCACAGCACAGATGTCCAGGCTACTGGTCGGTAGTCCTTCAGGTCCTTAGCAGGTGTCTATTTGGGTAGTGGGATTATGGTGGATTCCTTCCACTGGCTGGAACACAGGCAGAATCCAGGAGGTGCTGAAACAACCTTGTGAGAACTCCACCTAGATGAGTGGAGCATTCTTTGAGCACCCTGCCTCTGAGCCTGTCAGGGCCAGCGGCCTTGTGTGGGTGGACCCTGTGTAGGGTGGAGGTTACCAGATGTTCATCAATAGTGATAGCTTGGAGGGAGGAGCTGGGGGTTGGGGAGGTCCAGGTGATTTGAGTGCTGCCACTGTTGAACTACTCTGCAAAGGAGGTGGGATCTGAGTGGCCAACCACTGCAGGTTTGGGGGCTCAGCCCATCATGGTGTTTAAGCCACGCCTCCCTCACATTCCAGAGGTAGTCTCTGTTCCACCTTGTTCTTATAGTGTATCTTAGCCAGCTTGGCCTTCCTCCTGAACTCCTTCTCCAGCTCTCTCACCCTGAGCTTGTCTCCTTTCAGAAAAGGGGGTTTTCTTCTGGACCAGGCAGTTTTTCCTGTCCTTTGTAACCCATTTTTTAATTGTTTGGGTGAATAGTTATTTGCTTGTTGGGAGTGACAGTGTCCTCACAGAATAAAATTTTGTGATGGGTTCCCCTGTTTTTGTGATCTATATCTTGGCAGAAGTAAAATGACATTATGGTCAGAGCGACCGAGAGGTGGGCATGGTTTTGAGATGCATTTGTGATGTTGCCATAGCATGGTTCAGTATGGTCTGGTGGGACCTGTGACATATTACTCTAGGTTGGGTAAATGGTGAATGGTGATGTCACACCTGTTAAAATCCCCTAAGTGAAAACACTGACTTTTCTCCAGTCTGACTGCCAGCTCTGTTGTAACTGTCAGCTATGTGTTCTGCAGCTAGATTAAAGGCCCTGGTACATACACTAAAAAGACGGTGATCTGAGAAAACTCTCGGGGTAAGTAGTGAGGTCTGAAGGACACACTCATGTGCTCATAATGCTTACAGCTCTGTGTCTCTCACGTCTCTCACAGTGAAAAGTTTGTTGCCCACTTGCTGTTGACAGCCATGCAGAGCCCGCCCCCAATTGACTTCCGTGTTGTTGTTGCATCTTTGTCAAAGCGAATGATGTTAAAACCACCTAGTTGAAAGTCTGTACCCCCCGAGAGCCATGTTCCTGTAAAACAGAACAGGCTGGTTTGCCGATAATCCAGATCTTACCTGACGAGCGTGGAAAGTTCCTCAGTCTTATTCCGTGGCGATCTAACGTTTGACAGGGTCATCGCAGGTAGTAGCTGGCTGCCTCTCTTCCTTAGTCTGTTGCGTATCCCTCCTCTGGAACCTCCTTTCCCTCAAATATGCTTCCGTTTTTCCGAAATAATTCTTGAGGGATGTTAATGGTTTGGATGGATATGCGTGCTGCATCTGGCTGAAAGCGGTTTAGCTCCAACAGGTGATCCTGTGAGTAATTGGTCTGCATCCACTCTGCAGCTGTTACATGACAGGATTTATGAATATTGAAGTTGCGCTGTTGCTTTAATATCACACTAAAACCTTTTAGCTGTAAAGTACCACATCAAGGTCAGAAGTGAACTGCAGCTCAAGGCAAAACTGCCCATTATAGTTTATAAAATGCCTGTGAAAATAAGAGAGATACTGCTTGAGAATCTCGTCTGAAATAAATGGAGTGTACCTCGTCATCAGAATTCTGCGTTTAATTTCTGAGAAGCTTTTAGTCTGGTAATAATGAACATCTTGACAAAGTGACTGCCGAGGAGCTGTAATTGATGTGCTGGTTTCTATTTTTACAGCAAAGAGACAGCGTTTGTCCAGAGGACCAGAGCAGGAGCTGTGCTTCACTTGGCTCTAAATATAGAAAAATATGAAGCAGGTTCTCCTGAGTAGACCATCAGTACTAGGGGCAGTTTTTCCACACATTATAATAACTGAAAGCTGGGGAAAGGTGCAGGTACCCTTTCATTGACGCCACCATTTATTTCAACCGTTTATACATTAGCTAACTATTTCAACTCTTACTTTTCTATATGTTTTAGCTAATGTTTAACCATTTATCTATTACTTTTAGCTAACAATTTTATCTGTTTATCTATTACTTGTAGCTCTCTTTTAACCATTTTATCCATTACTTTTAGCTAACTGTTTAACTATTTATCCATTACTTTAACTATTTCAGCTATCCATTACATTTAGCTAACTACTTCAACTGTTTATCTGTTTCTTTTAGCTAACTTTTTCAACTGTTTATCCATTACTTATCTATTTTATTTATCCATTACATCTTTCCCCGTACTCCCTGGCATCTGCAGAAGTACCCCGGTTTGGGAATCAGTGGTCCAGGGGGGGTGTTAATGCTCTTCTTTATGTGCTTCTGCTCTGTCACAGTGGTTCTGTTCTGTATGGCTGCTCTCATATTCCCAATCGGCTTCTACATCAACGAGGTTGGAGGACAGCCGTATAAGCTCCCCAACAACACAGTGGTGGGCTCCTCCTATGTACTCTTTGTCCTGTCCATATTCTTCACCATAGTGGGACTGCTGTTTGCTGGGAAGGTATGCCTGCCCGGCTGACATACCCTCCTTCTCTCTTTGTACCTTTGGAGAAACGCCCCCATTGAAGGCAACTTTTGTTAGAATTGTCTCTTCTGTGGCAGTGTTGGAAATATCATTGAAGTAGAACAAAACTGAGAAGCACCTGTTTGTGTTTTTCCTCTTGGATGAACTGTCACTCGTAACTGCAGCCGAAATCATTGCGTCCATCTTTTTGTTCAGGGACTGAGCAATCGCAGAGAGCTCTGAAATGGCCCTCGCCATTATCTGGTCTGAAGGATGCCTGTACAGTGATGAGAAGACAGAAGAATATTAAAAACCACGATGCAAACAGATTAAAACATCAGGACTTATCTGCCATTTTAAGTTGAAAAAGAATGACAGATGCCCTTCTCATCCACGATGCACATATTGAGATTACACTGTCAGGCCTGATACTGGCCAAGCAAAGCACCAAATATCGGCCAGTCACTTCTAATATGATGGAGGTCCTTCCCTGACCGCAGCTATATGGAACAATCTGTAATATATACAATGAAGTTTCACTTTTTTGGGCACATTTTATTTATTTCTTAAGGTATTTTGTATTTAAATGTATCACAGAGTTTCCCTGCCATTAATTATTATGTGTGGTGGATCACTTTGCCTTAAAGAGCTGTTAACCTTAAAATAACTAACATTGTTGAGTTTCATGGGATCAGTTCTAGAATTCTGGATGCATGAAATGATTGAGCATATAAAATGTTAAAACTGGAATGTAAATGGTCTATCTGCAATATCTGTCCATAATCCAACTCTTCTGTATATCATTATGGGGATTAGTAATGTAAAGTTGTACCCATGGATGTGTTACAGGAAGATGAGCTGGTCTCTGTGATGCAGTTGCGCTAAACCTTGACCTAAACAGTATGGCTCGGCGGGTGAACACCAGACTCGTATCAACACGTCACACCTGTTCTGGTCTCTCGTCTACAGCTTTGTTATTTTTAGTGATGTAGTGAATGTAGACTTCACAATTTTGAATGTCCCCTGTTGTTTAAACACTGTATCAATAAATGACTGAATCTCTGTTTTATACATTTGAGACGTTGATGCCTACTTCTGTATAAATGAACAGACGACCAGACTGTGTCAGTTTCTAGAAGCACTGTGACGTTCATGAATGAGCATGGAGGATGTCATCTCATTAAAAATGGTCGGAACATGTATTGACTCATCAATTTGTCTTTATTTTAGAAGACCATAATATCTGTAATAATCTAAAACAGTGTACAGGCAAGATGCAGACAAACTATCAGTAGTTAAGAAATGTCATCACAAAAAAATGGCATTTTTTCCTTCTGACAACATATAGCTTCATTTCAGCTGAAGGACTAAATAGTTTTTCTCTTGGGCTCATGAAATGTTTCCACAACTCATTAAATAAAGTCAAACATCTCAAGGTTAGAGCTTAAAAAAAGAAGGCTTTGCTTAGAACAGAATCTTACACCCACATTTAATCCTTTGTCTGCGTGCATACACAAGATGTTTATGTTGCCATAGGAACATTTAAAAAAAAGCATTTGGTGATGTGTGTTTGTTTTTCTGAAAATATCCCGTAGGCTAGGTGACAGCAGCAGTCTCACTCTGCCCACTTGTGCTGTGACCTTCAAACCAAATCTCACAGTCCCAGTGCTGCTACTTTAAGCCCCAAAACATTTTTGTCTATCTACTTTGTCTTTTTTTTTGCAAATTTTGCAGTTTTCAGGGTTACTACCAAACTCGGAGTAGAGAGTGACTTTGGTTCTGGTGCCACAAAGGGATGAATAGCTTTTCTCTCTCTACAGTGGAGAACTGCCACATTTAATTTGGCAATAGTGTCATAAAGAAATACATCTGGCAACTGAAAAACACTTAAAAACAGCATTTATATGACAAAATAACCTTCTGATTTATCAAATAAAACTTAACAAGTAAAACTGGTGGTTATCTAAACAAAACACTATGATTCAGAAACTTTTGTGTGGTACTATAGGAACACTGGAACGGGTAATTATCACAGGTAATTAGAAGAATTAAATGGTAAGATCAATGGGCTTGAAATACAGACAAGACGTCACTGCAATAGTGACATTTTTAAAGTGCAGTCAAATGTAAGAAACATTTATTATACTTTTATATAGATAAAAAAAAAATAAACTAACACAACACACGATACTACACTTACTATACTACACTTTTTTCTCTTTTTTGTTTTTTTTTACAAAGAGCTACATCTTACATTAAATTAATTTGGATGATTTAAAATACAGCCAATGTTTATTGAATATTGAGAATAAAAGCAACTCTATAGATTTAAAGAAACATGAAATTATCTTGAACTGTAAGATTGTCAGTTTAGTTTGGCACGGGTTAAATTACTACAGTCTGACTGTCTGTATAGCCAGGTGCACCGACAGTGGATGTGAGGAGCCACTTCAGTTCTCACCACAAGAGGGCATAATTGGTCAAATGTAAGTTAGTAGTCCACCGCTACACTTCACTTACTGAAAATCACCAGATTGTCTCCAATCTGAAGCAGATTGAAGGACATTGAACAGTCCAGAACATCTTTAGTTCAACCTTTGTATTTGTATATGTTGTTACTTTTTTCTAAGGCAGAACCTCATGGCAGCAACACATACAGTTCAGTACAGTTCAATCCCCATCCCCAATGTGTTGGATCCAGTGTGGAGGCTCATGTCAGGCCACGGTGGGACTGCTGCTCTGCAGCTTGGCCATTCGAGCAGCTACAAGCAGCAGTATGCCGGCGAGGAGCTCCAGGCCATAGGAGAGCCAGGCCAGACCCAGAGACCAGCCGAAGGAGGTTTGAATATAGGCCAGACCCTCCGACCCCACCTGCCTCTCCGTCTCAGCCAGGGCCTGGTACGAGTAGATGATGTAGAGGCTCACACCACACAGGGTCAGCAGACCTGGACAGAGATGCACACATCTATTCATTAAAAAACATTTTATTTATATTTGTTTTTAGGCACTGGCACTCAAGACTTCTTAAAACAATGCACAAGCAATAATAAAGCGGAAATTACCAGCCAGCGCTCGGTGCTGAGGGCTCCTCAATAAAACCAACAATGACATCAAGCCATTAGCTACCGAAAATCTCATATTGTGAGAGACAGGAAATGTAATGACGCATGTGTGGTCTGCTTACACGACATCCAGTCATCAGAGACACACACAAACCCTCATAGTCCTCACAAGTTTCACAGCGTTGCTATTGGAAACCCTTTTAATTTTGACAGCTTGCTACTGGTTTTAATGGGATGCAAATGGAGCACAGAGGCTACCCAGGGCGGGACAAATAATCCTTTTATTACAATTACACCCTAAGGTGCTACTAGCTGGGAGAATGATGAGGAAGCTGCACATGATTCTTATGCAGTTCACTATGAAGAGGAGAGAAGCAGAAAAACAGACCGGAAACTGTCTCACATACTGTACATGCAAAAACAACTACTACCACTACTACTATGTTTGTGGATGGACAGAATTTTATCTGCAACAATTTTGATAACTGATAAATAATTTAAGCCATTTTTAAGCTAAAATACCAAAACAAATCACTGACACCTCCTTCCCAAATGTGACGATTTGCTGCTTTTTTTATGTTCTATCATAGGAAACTGAATATAGACGTCAGCCTGGGCTCTAGGAAAATATGATGGGCATTTTTAGCTAAGGATGGAGGGAGATGGCTTGGTGGATGGCCATATCGGTGTGTCAATCAGTCCACCGCTCTGGTCCAGACTGTGACAGCTATTGGATGGATTGCCATGTCATCTTTCACAGACATTCATGGTCCCCCAAAGGATGAATCCTTGTAACTCAAACCTTCACTCTTAGTCTTGTTCACCCTTATCTCAGATTTTATAGCCCAAACAATTAATTTCTTACCATTATTACTTGAAAAAAAATACACTACAACATTGTACTTCTTCTTTAAAGAAATAAGTGTGGATTTTTTTTTTCGGGGTGGTGGTGGCACATTGGTGTGGGAGACCTGGGTTCAATTCCCATTGTGTCCCTGAGCAAGACAATTAACCCCTAGTTGCTCCAGAGGCGTGCGACCTCTGACATGTATAGCAATTGTAAGTCGCTTTGGATAAAAGCGTCAGCTAAATGAATAAATGTAAATGTAAATGTTTTCAACATGGAAACACTCTATAAATGTTTTCATTTGAGAGGAAACCTGAAATTGTGCTGAAAATGAAGTACACAGGAAGCAATGGAAGGGCTCTGCAGGGAGCCCTGACAAATAGTCATTAGGCTGTTTAATGGTTGGTGAGGAAAGAAGCTGCAACATTAGAAGGAAGACGAACAAAGCAATTAACAGCGAATTCTAAGTATATTTTTATATATATATGCACACACATACATACACTGTGTAGTCTATATATAGGATGATATACACTTACTGGCCACTTTATTAGTTACATCTTGCTAGTACTGGGTTGAACCCCCTTTCGCCTTCAGGCAGGCTGTCGCATTTAAACGATGCTCAATTGATACAAAGGGGCCCAAAGTGTGCTAAGAAAATATCCCCTACACCATTAAACAACCACCACCACAAGCCTGAACTGTTGATACAAGGCAGGATGGATCCATGCTTTCATGTTGTTTACCAGTACGCCAAATTCCCTAACATCGGAATGTTGCAGCTGAAATCGAGACTCATCAGAACAGGCAACATTTTTCAATCTTCTATCGTCCAATTTCGCTGAGTCTGTGCAAACTGTAGCCTCAGATTCCTGTTCTTAGCTGACAGGAGTGGCACCCGGAGTGGTCTTCTGCTGCTGTAGCAAGTGGTTATTTGAGGTACTGTTGCCTTTCTGGCAGTTAATTAAGAGAAGAAAGAAAAAGCTGGCTTGACAGCCGGGGAGGGTGGGATATTTTCAAAGCCGGACAGTCAACAAGTTCACAAGATGACAACAATCTAATTCAAGCCTTTATTCCATTCCACACATTGCATGTGCTGCTGATTATAGGGAGACTATAAAGAGTCTTTTTAAGTAAGTGTTTATCCATCACACGGTCCTCTTTATGGTGGTCATAAGGCGTTACTAGGACAGCCCCCATGAGACGATCTCAGCCAGATGCTCAGGCACTATGTCTAGCACACACGTATAACTTGATTGCTGTAAATAGCCAGGTTAACATAATAGCTTTAATGTTATTAATAGTAATCTAACTCTCCCAATAACAGCGTTCCACGCAGGTTATTATGTTACCTGTGTGGCAGACATTTAAAACACACACCAAAAGAAACAAAACTCACATGGGTAATCTTAACCTTAGGGTTAGTCAACTTCAATATCATTGTTTATATCTTCAGCAAAGATGAGTGAAGTTTAGTGGAACAGTATTGTTAGAATATGATAGAAAAATATATGCCTTTGTTTTAAATTTTTGTTTGCAATAAGTAATGACTCAAAACAAATTACAATTAAAATAAAAAAATCCCTTGAAATTTTTGCTTTACGCACAAGCGATGTGACATTATGTGGCCGTCGTGAACCACCAAGTCGATGTCCCAGCCTGCGCACAGCAGGCTATAGTGTTTTCCTCAACTGACCCACACAAACAACATGAAATTAAAGAAATTAAAGAAAAAAGGTATAAAATGAAACACAGAACAATAGAGAGCCACAAATTTGGGATGCAGTTTCCAAAGCAATTTGATTTCACTGATGTGCCTCCCTACAGACGAATAAAATCTCTCATAACCCATCTAACAGTGTACAGGATGAAACGCTTCTGATGTAACAGACGCAAGAGCAGCTACACACACATACACACACCTGCCCGTTCAGGCATTTAACCAATATGGGCAAATCAAACAGCCAATCAGTCTTGGCTGGTAATAAACGTCAGTCCCTTTGACCACATGAGGTCAATAACTATATCCGAGGTCAATTTCCGTCACATAAAATCCCGTCTGTTCAAATTAACCACATGGCCTTGCTTTACTGCCACACTCCAGCCATATATATTCCACCAAACCCTCCACAGCTTTTTAGTGTTTTCCACTTTGTTCTGTAATATCAACAGTGCATTAAATGCTGTATTTGTGGAGATTTGAACTAAAACACCCATACCCACAAAGAAATGGTATCTGCACTGTGCTCTTTAAATGTTATTTCTGGTCATTCTGCTTCTGTGTTTTCCATTAGAACTATCATTTGTATACTGTTATCTATTTAGTAACTGCGTTGCTATTACCATATTCTTTAAATTAAATGTTTTGGAATTTTCAATGCCCAGGTACCACTGCCACAGTAAACATATGAGGGGGAAATGCTGTTTACAGTGAAAGCACTGCACAGAGATGTATTGCACACTTCTGAGGTATCCTGTTTCTCGCGCACACAGCCATTTGAGTGAAACGATCTTCAACAGCGTGTGTCGGGACAACAGACTGTTCTCTCCTGTATGCCACCACCTACCTAATGCCTCCTCCTTTGATTAACACTAGGGTAAATGACCCAAGCAGCATTGTGTTGTTAATGTGTATACCTCTCTCTTGCACTTACTGTGATGTTTACTGTCATTTTTATTAACACCATCTCTGCTGCAACCTACTGGCAGTAATGTGTAATTTCAATGTTTTTAACCATTATTGAATTTAAATGTGATAAAAGACGCACTGTCTTCTGGATAGAAAACACTGGCACACTAGAGACTGCATTAGCCATACTGCTTAGATGGTTGCCAGTAGTAGTTGGTACACTGGAAGCACTGATTCAGATAGAGCATGAATGCCATTGGACATTGTGGTTTTTGTTTTAATGGATCTGTTCTGAAAAGCTGGCAATATCTCTCAGTAGATGTACAAAAACACCTCTAAGGGTTCTCAGAAAATGTAATTACCTTATAAAGTTACTTATGTCACCTTCAAGGACACACCGAGGGAAAAACAGCTTAACTCCTGGACCTGATTTTCCCTCTTCCACTATACCTTAAGACTGATACAGTGAGAGCACACCTGAGTGAAGGAGCTGACAACTTACTACAGATGAAGAAGTAGGAGGCTGTGCTGGTGAGGAGGACAGGGCTCCGAGCCAGGGAACTGACTAATCCACAGATGCCACCAAACAGTAATAGGACCAGGCTGAAGGGAAGCACCAGCACTATTGCACTATGCATGCCTGCATATAAACATACACAAAAACAGATGGGTTATGGCTCATCTGTGCAGCTGTTGCTACCTTGACAGTGCAACTTCATTAGGAGAGTATATGGTTATTATAAACGCAGGGTTTCATTAGAGCTGGAAGAGGAGAGACTCACTCAGCATGTGCAGCTCAGTCTCAGAGTACCTGGAGTGGTCAGCTGTGAAAGAGTCGATAGAGTCTGCGTACATCTTCCCACCTGCAGGTTACAATTATAAACGTTGATAAACATATTAGCTATATACACATTTGCATTCTCACTCCATCACCAATTAGGTAATTAAAACAGCCTGGATCTCAATCATTGTGAGGTCGTTATGGAAAAGTAACCTACCTTCGTTGATGCTCCACAGTCCCGAGTGGGAGCTCATGTCCTCAAAGTCGCTCATGTTCATAGGATTCATCTCTATGATGTACCAATACTCGGTTCCAAGCGAAGTCGCCAAACAAGCGAAGCTCAGAATACCGCAGATGCCGGCTGAGACCACCAGGGCGCCGAAGGTTACCTTCATCCTGTCCAGGTGAGCGTTTCATCCACCCGTAACGATGATGAATTTAACTTAGTAACGCAGCTTTTCTAGCGCTGGTCCTGTCTTTCAAACGTTACTGCTCTCATTAAGGGACCCCAAAGATGCCCCCCCCCCCCCAGTATTATGGTGTTAAGGTGATCCAAAAGCTTTCCAGGCAGTATTTAAAATTTAGTGTGGAGGTGGAGATCAACTTGGCTGAGTGAAGCAAGTCACAGACCTCCACAAGAGCGAGAACAGCCTCACTGAACAGCAGCAGCTTCTCTATGGGAGGGACTTGAACTGGTTCAGGAGGCGCACACGTTTACGCAGGACATGGAGCTTACAAAAACAATGTCCAAATTTACCAGCATCTTCAATTAGATTCACGGAAAGATGACATAAAAGAAACTAAATAATCTCATGAGTGTATGGTTTGTATTGCTCCCCTCATGCTGGCTCACCTACATGCTACACATTAGAAGATTTCCCGTATGAATGCACCCCCCCCCCCCCCCAATAAATAAATGAATAAATAAATAAATGGGGTAACCCAACATCACAAGTTTAATGGATAAAAACAGAAGACAATAAACAGTATTACAAAGAAGACATAAGGGAATATGGAAATGAGTTCAGCCAGTCAAATGATTTCCAGCAACAATAAACTTTCACACCGCTCATCTCATTCATCAGCATCTATTCAGGTTTCACTCTTCACCCATGGCTGTCTTGATGATATCTGCTCTTCTCAATTTGGCCGCCTCTTCAAACTTGGTGATTGCCTCGTTACAGGATTTGTTCTGGGAGTGGAGAATGAAATCTGGATCAGACATAATGCCAAGGTCACTTGTTCTCACGGGAACTTGTTAGCATGGTGTTAGTCTTGGTGTTTAACCACTTGACTTTTAAGACATGTTAGAAAACCAAAGGAAAACAGAGATAAAGATTTGACGGTTTGAAAAAAATATGTTGCCATCTGACATAGTCATTTCATAAAAATGAAGCATTATGTAGCAGCAATTTTAGTTTTTTAAGTTATGGAGGAGTCCTCTGAAGAACATACAATGATGGACTTGTGCCTCTCCTTCTGTAGTTTGAAGAATTCCTCCACAGTCAGCTCTTCTACTTTCTTCTTCAGGGTGATGAAGTGGCAGGATGGAGAATGAGATTTGTGCTCCTTTCTGGCAATGAGAGAATGATGAGGGGGAGACAAATATTTTCATTAAAAAAGGACCATGTGCTCAAACACATGAAGGAAGGAATGGACATTATACCAATGAAAAATGGAAATGAAAATGACTTCACTGTCCATGGACAACATTTATTCTCTAAAAGGTTTCTGCGAGGAATGGACAGTCTGGTTTCCAATATAAGTCTGCTTGCTGTGGAGAAAACAGCTTGCTTGAACCAACACAATATTGTGAAGCTCAACAATTGTGACTATATCACAGTAACTCAAGCTGTGTCATTTCAATGACCGTGTAGCAAATAATTTACAGTGCTACAAAGAGTTGTAGTCGTAAAACACTGCAAAGTTGTGTAACACATGGAGGAGAAAAGTATTGTAAATTATAACAAAACCTTTGGTCTTATTAAAAATCATTCATTAATAAGCTTCACCAAACTGCCTTTACTATTAGGGTTTTTATGCTACTTTTCTTTTTATTAGGTTTTGATTTTTACCACTTAGGTTACAACTGAGCCAAAGAGGGTGAAATGTCTGAGGCAAGAGAGCTGCATCAAAATGTGTTTGTCAATCATTTTGTGAAAATGTACATGCATATTTGGCCTGAAAAATTGTTTGTGTCTTCTGCCAGATTTCTGAAGGTAATGTCTTTTTTAACAAAAAGTGTGTGCTACAAACTAGTTGGAAAGATGTGGCTGTTTACCAGGCAGAGAGGGTCTAAAAAAAAAAATTTACCTCAAATTTGACCTTTCTTTGTTAAATCTTGTCTTGCCAGTCCTTTACTATTGTAAGTGCAACATTAAACCACATGAGTGCTCCTTAAATCTGATATGCATATACTTAATATAGTTTATTTTATGGTTTGTTTTTATGATTCTGTCATTGCTTTTTATGAGCCATGTGTCTGTTTACCCTGCTGAATCACATTGCATCTGTTACTACACCAACCTATTTCTGGAGAGAATTAGACTAATTATAAAATATAAGACTAACTTTAATTGATAAAGAAATGAAGCAGTAAAAATCTCCCATCCTAGTTATTTGCATTTCTGACCCATGAGCTAATGTGGTCATCTTACTCTGGGTCATCCTCTGGCTCCCAGCCCTCCAGCTCTTTGAGACAGAAGAAACACATGGCGATGTCTGGGCTGTTGTCTGACGGGGTGTGAATAAAGCCAGCTTTGGCCATCTGGAGAAACAAACGAACAAACAGGCAACATAAAAAAAACTATGAAACAAATGTGTATTTAATTAGAAGATAATAAATCAACAACAACTTTATTGCTCCATAAATATTTTATTACCACAACTAAAACAATAAGCAGAAACTTGATTGTTAACTATTTTGATAATGGATTAATCATTTCACTCATTTTCTGTTTCATGTTATTGTAAATTGAATCTCTGAGCTTTGGACTGTCGTTCAGACAAAAGGAAATTAAAAATGATGTCACCTTGGGTTCTGGCTATTTGTGATGGGCATTTCTCACTATTTTATTACCTTTAATAGACAAATGATTAATGTAAAAAAAAAAAACGTCAGTTGTTGGTTTCAGCCTTTTAAGTGTGCTGCTTTGTTCTCTCTTCTGTATCATTGAGAATTTGGTATTGTTGGGTTTAGGAACTGTTAGGAAGACAAAACAAGCTATTTGAAGATGTCGCATTGCACTGCATAGACTAAATTGTTTTATCAATTATTTTAAAACAAAACTAAGAAATTAGTCCAAAATGAAAATATTGCAACCCTTGTTATATGAACTAAAACTAGAGGTATAAGGTTAACTTAAGCCAATCATTTGCCTAAGCTCCAAGGTAATCGCAGTTTATAATAACACAACCATCCATCCATAATAACACAACAATATCTACTATAACAGTTGTTTTGTGATGTTGACCTCACATTAAAATGACCTTTAATACATGAGCAACAACACTTTCATGTTGTTACATTTGACACATAGCATGAACTACCTATAAAATGTCAACTTACTGTAACTCAAAGCTTTCACTGAGAGACCTTAAGCTAACCTAACGTTAACTCTTGACGTTAATTTAACCTTTAAACAGTTACCTTTGTGACACAGGGCTAACTTACTAAGTTAAAATATGTGAGTGATAATTTAACTTAACGTTACTAGTGGTAAGGTCACGGTCTATTTCATTTAAATATTAGCGGTTTTCTTGCTTTAAAGCTAATTGTTGTTGTGTTAACTTAGCTCGCGTCGCTGACCGTAGGCTAACGTTAACGTTAATGAAAGTCAACCGCTTTAAACGTTCACTCACGTTCTCCGGGGTACAGGAACAATCTTTGTCAAATGGCCACCCCTCGAAAGTTTTCAGCCTGTTCTCATAAAAATACATTTTGATATCCTCTTCGTTTAAAGGCTCCATTATATCTAACGTTAAAATGAACCAGTATCGTCGCCACCACCTGAAGCTACCGAGCTAAAATGTTGGACGGTGTTTTTTAAATTTCGGCCAACGTTCATTTCGACTGTTTTGATTGGCGCATTTCTTCTTCTTCGTGGATCGACAACTTGTAGAGCGCACAAGCACGCCACCAATTGTTCTCGCCTGTGCGGACACTGTAGCGAAATAGTCAAACAAAAAAACAATACGTCTTTACTAAATTGTTTTGGAAGACAATAGAAACCTTTAATGCCATCATCTGCCTTCTTCTTTTGTAAGAAGTCTATACGCCAAACCCACATCTACCGCCTGGCATCAGACTTCCGTTTATTTTTCCTGGGTAATGTAGTTCGTGGCGGTTATTGGTCCAAAATCGCGACGCGCGGAACTTTGTGAGGACGCAACATCCTCTGTAAACAACCGGCTAGGATCACCTCGTCCAGTTTTGCCACACACTTAAATTTTTTACCACCCCTCACTCTGCTCACAGTGTGCCCTGCCTAACGTTAATGCTGACCAATCGGTTTCTTCATCGGTGTTGTGGCTACTATGGAAGGACGATGTCCTGTTGAGACTTTGGCAGAACTGGGCTTTTCAGGAACATCATGCACACCGAAGATCAAGTTTGGTTTTGGGACAGATGTGTTCCTCTGCGTTGGCGGTGACGAGGTCTGCGTCTTCAGTACTCAGGAGAGAAAACTCACGGCAAGTAACGTTAACTCACATACATCGATCAGGCATCCTAGTTACATTGGTCAGCTGGTAAAGATAACTGACTGTCGCGTCCACGTTTTCTGTGCCTGACTGTGTTTTGTTGCAGGCTGTTCTCCAGTTTCCTGGTCTTGTGAGTGACCTGGTTGAGAGTCATGACAAGCAGCTGCTCTATGTAGCCTGTGGGAGCGGAGTTTATTGTGTCAGTCTACAATTTCTGCTATCCAGGTATAAACCCTCATATGTGGTCCAATTAAACTGCATTCACAGAAGTTAGGTTTTCATACAGCTCCTCCAAGTCCCCGAATCATTGCCCACATGTTGTATAAAATTAGTTAAATTGAATCCTGTCACTGCCTCTTATTGATGTGACCTTTCACCTCTGCAGAGTTCAATGCTCCCCAGCTGATGCGTCCTCCAGCCCAGCTGAGCTGAAAATCTCCTCTGAGTTTCTTGTTGTTCCAGAAGAAGGAGTGTTATCGCTGCTCCTTGTCGGCTCTGTACTCCTGACTGTTTCCCAGAGAGCCACGTCCTGGATGTTGACTCTGTACAAATCTCCACAACAGTCGGAGTCCAGCATCTACCAGATGCTCAGCTCATTTAGTCTACCAGCTGTTGTTGTACACGCAGGAATGAGAAGGAGGCCTGTGCTGATTTGTGTCCATTCAAGTGATGCAACACCTCCATCTTCCTCCTCCACTTCTTCCTCAGAGGCAATTTTAACTGACGGCCACATCCGCCTCGAACCGCTCCTCTTCAAACTCCTGTTTGGGATCGACGCCGCCCTCGCTAATTCACCGGTTATCCTTTGTGGCCTGCCAGACGGGGGCCTGTGTTCCCTCCCTCTGCGTCCACCAGGATCCCGGCTCCGAGTTCTGCATAGCCTAGAGCAGCCGGTCGTATTTGTTGGAGCATATGTCGCCAAGGAAACGGGTCCGGGACGTGCACAGTGTTTGGTGGTAGTGGGCGAACAAGGGAGAATGGTGCTGATCAAAACGGACAAGGGAGGGCCAGAGGGAGGGGGTCACAAAGCTGGTTTTACTGAGAGGTGTATACCGGGGCCTGTGATGTGCGGCTGTGCGGATACAAACTGTTTTTACTACAGCACTGGGTCAGACCTGCTGGGACTGGATCTATCGGAGGGATCATCTGGGAGAGAAGGGCAAGAAAGGGATGCGGAGACATCTAGTAAGACAGGTGCTGCCCTCCAAAGCCCCACCAACTTAAATGTGTGTGGAGTCATCGCCTTGGCTGAGCCTACATGCAACACTGCAGGTAAGAAGACTCAGGCAGAGCATACTGTTGACTTATACCTTCCATTGAATGATTTTCTTCTGGCAGCCATTGCTCTCAGTTTATACCACTACTGTATATGGTTTAGTTAGGTGGAATAAAAAGTTCCAAACAGTGACTGTTAGGTGTGTTCAAGTGTGTCTGAGTCAGCTGCTGGACAGCAACCCTATTTAACACAAAAAGAAAATCACCAGTCACTTTGACAACAATTAAGTGAGAAAATAAAGGTGATGAAATGTTCACAGTGATTGATTTACTTTCTGAAGTCTCTGCAAGTTAGATGGCTGTCATATAGTAGTGAACGTTATAGAAACCAATGGTTGTCTGAAGCCAGTAGAATATCTCTTTATGCTGTAAAATGATGCATCAGGCAGTTCTCTTTTCCATTCGAAAGCAGAAAATAGAAGTCTTCCACTCTGCGGTGGCTGTCACCTTATAAGCAATGCTGTTTGTTGTTTTTAATCATTTCTTCCTAAATTAAATTAAGATTTGAAGCAGTGCACATGTTGCAAAGTGCATGACTGTATGTCTGTACTGTAAACTGTATGATATGACATACGTGGCAGTGGAGTATTTGATTATTGATATCACTGGTGTGAAAAGAGTGTTTATCTATCTATCAATCAATCAACAAAATTTATTTCGGTCCTCACACATAATTTTCCATAACAAAAAAAGGAAAACAATGAAATAAAACAATATATACAAGCATAACAACCGAAAAAGGTGTAGACTGAAGCCTATGCTTATTATGCCTACCCTTTTTACATAATTATCTAATGAGCGTCACTTTTCTCTCTTCTCTTAATCCATTCAAAATAAACGTACAGTTACATAAAAAAAGGAGAATTTTTTCCCCCCAAGATATTCATACATGATTACAGTGGTACACATCTCAGATATTATTTCAATATTTGACATAAAGCGTACACAAATTAATCGTAATTAGTTATATAATTATCACCTTGTTTTTAAACAAGGTGATTATTAACAATTACAGAATGAAGTACACAATTTTAATTCCTTGTCACAATTATTCCATAGGTTTACCCCTTTAACAGATATACATCTATTTTTTATATTAGTTCTTGCTCTTACATATACATTCCTCTTAATTTGTACTGACCTTCTCTAATTTCGAACAGCCTCTGAACACAATTCGGAACTAAATTATTATACACTTGAAAATGACGTGGGCATTATAAAGGTCAATTAAATCAACAAATTTTAAAGCTCGTAAATTAATAAATATATATTTGTTGGTTCTTAATAGTCAGCCCGTTTTACAATCCTTAATGCTTTCTTGTTTAGCATATATATTGAATTTATATAAGTTTTATATCTATGACCCCACACCTCCCCACAATAAGTAATGTATGGAACTATGAGCGAACAATACAATATATATAATGATTTTTCATTCAAAATATGTTTTATTCCATTTAGTATTGCAATGGATTTAGACATTTTTGTCTTTAGATTATTTATATGTGATTTCCAACATAATTAACACCTAAGAATTTATATTCATATACTCTTTCTATTTCCTCATTACTAATCTTAATTTTAACATTACTATTACTTCGTCGATTGCTAAATATTATGAACTTTGTTTTACTCAAATTCAATGAAAGGCGATTATCATCAAACTATCTTTTTAAGGCCATCAATTCAATTTCAACCGTATTAAGAAGCCGTTCCAAACTTTTTCCCGTACAGTACAAATCAGCAAACAATATATAGTAATAATAATAATAATTAAATTTTTTTTTATATTTTAGACACTTTACGAACCTTGTGGAACACCACAAGTAACTTTCATTAGATCAGATTTAATGTTTAATGTTATTTATTTGTATGAACTGATATCTATCCTCTAGGTAACTTCTTTTTTTACTGAATGATTCTGCATTCTGCATCTGAGATGCTCTTCGAGTTCAGTCGCAATTATGTAACTGAGTCTACATGTTTGCTTTGCAACATGGCTTCAGTCCCTCTGAACTCTAAAGACTAAATTATTAGTTTTTTTACTTACATACTACGTGAAGTTCAGCTGCTGGGGCTGTCAGTCAGCGGCCAGCTCCAGAGGATAACCTTACCTGTGCGGAGAGAGGACGCAAGATTGTCCAAGGTGCCTTCCACGCAGCCGGGCCGCAGCGTCAGGGACATCCTGTCGGCTATCGGGGATGTTTGTGAAAGGTATACCTAACATGATTCCTTTTTGATTGTTAATGTAATCAGCACTGAAATGGGAAAACACAGTGGACATTTACTGTTACTATAAATGTGATTTTTCTTGTTTTCTTTTAGAGCATCGGCGCTAAAAACTACTATCAAATCCAAAAACCAAATCCTGGGGCACCTGAATCAGGTGCTTAACATCAGCTTTCTGCTCAAAGCCAGTACAAATAGCGATGGCCATATTCCCATCCCGGAGAAGCCAATCAGATGTCATGCCATGACCAAGTGGAGCAGATTGCTTCAAGAAGACTCGCTGAACCTGACATGTGTTCTGGATAATTCCAGTCTTTATGTTTTGGAAGGAGGCTGGACACTGAGCATCACTGTGTTTCCTCTGTCCTGTTCTCTCAGCGCAGGAGAGGAAAGCTCCTCCACCAATTTTTCATTCCCACTCCACAGTCTCCATCCTGGGGAAACTTTAGAAGTATCACTGCCTCTAGCAGCTGCAGGCGATACATCCTTCCCCATGACAGTGAGCTGCTCGCTCATCTTCTCACTCTCGAGTCTCCTGGGAGAGGAGGCGTCAAACCTTCCTGGTTCGCTGGGTAGCTGCATTAGTTTGCCCTTGAACACACTCACAGTGGATTGGTTGCACGCCCTGCAGGTGAACAGTCGAGCAGCAGCCACCCACAGAAAGGCCACATCTCAAGCCAACAACACCACAACAGAGACCATCCAGGCTTTTGTAAACTCACGCCGGATTATGTGCAGTGGAAGAGGGGAGGAAGGAGGAGAGGGTGCCTCAAAGGCTGAGCAGGAGCAGTATTCAGCAAGTGTACGGGTGTCATCACAGTTACTAAGGGATACACTGGTGTTGAAAGGCTCAGATTTGGACCCAGAGGGGCTAAAGTTGGCTCCTCAAAATGTGTGTATTTCTCTACTGGAATGGCTGTTGTCTGAAGGTCCTGGAGGAGTGAAGACAGGACGCCACAGGGACAAGATTGCACTCAGCAACCCAGTAGTCCATGCTCGAGGTCCAAATGGACACACAGTCAAACTGACTGCAAAAGAGGTAAAGAGGGATCTAATATTATATTTAGAAATGTTTGCCTCATATATTTGATCTTGTGCTACTTGAATAAAACAGAGGAGTGCTCCTTTTGTTCTCCAGGTCAATGTAGGGGAGGAGAGCGCGGGGAAGGAGGAGTCCCTGACCACAATGGAGGTTCATGTTGAAAGCTCATCTATAGCAGCAGTGTGTGGACTGCACCATGCCGTGCTTCGCCGGGTACAGGTACGAACACACGCACTACCAACCTATACAGCGTTTTCAGAGAAACTTACAGTAGTAGACATTTTTATACTTAACACAGGCGTAATGGATATTTTTAAGGACAGATCTAAATATTGAGTTTTGACACCTATTTTATTATTTATTATATTTAGTATTTTTTTTTAGTCCTGTATTCTTTTTTTAATGTTGTGTTTCCAAAACAACCATGCAGAATTGATTTAGTTAACTTGATGTTTGGCTTTGATTTGCCCTGACAAAGAAAGAATTGCAAGCTATAGATTGAGAGAGGAGTTCCACACAGTGCTGGGAATTTAATTTTGTTCAGCTGTACAAGGTACATGGTAGACTTCTTGTAAATGCAGGTAAATGCAGGGAAACTCCGGGTCAGCGTTATGAAGAATTGTGCACACACACATTGATTAGACTGTAGCTGCAACTAGACAGCACAACTACCTTGGACTGTCCCAGACTGCTGTGACTCAGCTCGATCTACCCAGCCTTTATGCTTATGTTTGTTCCTGCTTTTAGAAGCACACGTAAAACAACTTATGTGAAATTCTTACAGGTTCGTTGTCTGCTCTGTTCTCTGCCCTCCACACAGACTCTGTTGCACAGGGCTCCTGAGAAGGCTGCTTCTACAAAGAGCATCCAGAGTTTAGGTTTAAGACAGGCACTGCAGCGGGCTGAGGTAAGACATTAGTGCCTTTAGAGCCTGACCGATATGGGATTTTTAAGAACGATACAGATTTTGATAATTAAGGATTTTTAAACCCAATATTATACTGATATATGGGCCGATATTCTTTCTTCTTCTTCTTTTCAGAAACACGTAACATAAGATTAACATTTGTTTTGTGCAGTTATGAGACCTCACCAAGATAACATCACATAATGTAGTTTAAAAATTTTTTTTATTGTTATAAATGGCACTTCAAACAACACAGCTGATTATGTCAGCAGGTTGCTGTGTTTTGTGGTGTTGCCAACAGGGGCTCATGGCAACCTGTGCAACGACAACACATAACATTATTGAAGCATCCCTCTTCCGTCTCTCCATTTCTTTTTTTAATTGTCTTTTATCGTCTGTTATGCTTTATCGTCTGATAAGATCAGTACACCAATTTATCGGTTGGGCTGTACCTAATGTACTTAATTTTGTCCATGAGTGCTTCAACTAACAGTTATTCTTATTATTATCTAACTATCTGTATTCTTTCAGCCTATAAACTAGGGCTGAACGATATTGAAAAAATATTTAATCCCGATTATTTTGACTGATATTGCAATTGCAATAGGATATGCGATATTGGACCATGATAATTTATACATAATTATTCTCATTTTGACATGTAGGCCAGGACATCTCTGCAGCTCGACAATATTTAATTTAAAATGGTATTTTGACACACATTTTGCCTGTAACAAATATTGCACCTCTTGCGATTTGAAAATTGCAGTAGGCCATATTGCGATTTTGATAGGATTTTAATTAATTTTTCAGTCCTACTAAAAACGGAATAAGGTACCCATTGCAATTACCAAAATACCAAAAGTGACATGGAAGGAAAAGTACGTGAATCTCATCTTTGGAGAAGCTATGACCAGCAACTGCTTGATGTTTTTAATAAATAGTACATTTCTTTATAAATAAATAAATCACATTCATCCCAATACTTTTACAAGACTACAGAGATGCACCCAATAGCTTTTTGTCATTGTCTTTGATTGTGTTTACATCCACACTAGCTTGGTGTTCTTTCTTTTTGAACCTTTGTCTATCTCCTCCTCTCCTGTCAGCACCTGTTGCAGCAGATCCAGCAAAGTCGGGTCTCAGGGTCGTTTGACGTGGGCGTGTCTGCAGGGCAGATGACCCGATCTCTTCTCAGCGTTTACAGAGAACTCAGAGAAAACCCTCTCCTCATAATTTAACACTTTTATTTATCAGCCGAGCCTACACAGCTGCCCCAGGCGTTGTTCTGCGTTTTGTAACCAGTTTTTGAAGCTGATTGAAAAATAATGTCCGTAATAGTGATTGCTATTTTAAAACGTGCTTTTGTATCCCTGTGAATGGCTGTTCCCGTTTTTATGTTCTACACAAAGAAGGGTTTGCAGCATGACTTCGCTGATGTTTATGAGAGCGATTATTTGGTTCCAGTCACGTGACAATAAATTAAATCAAGAACTACTGTGCCTGTGAACTCTCTCCCCTTTGTGGTTATCCTCATGTGACTCTTTGTTAGTTCTGTGCTTCAGTTCAACTTCACTTTACAATCCATTACATTCAGCACAAGCTGACTGAAGAGCTCAGGTGGAGTAAAAATACACGCTATCACAAACTCATAGCTGGGTGAAGGCCCTGCGATTCACAATCTCCTGATGTATGTCTCCAGACATGTAGGTGTAACAGTGACTTAGATAGATAGTTGTTCTTGAACAAGTGCGCACATTTCCAGACGACTGGTAGATTGCACGGGTTTGATTATGAATGACCAGCAAATACAAAAGTAAGGAATTTGTTCAAGTAAAGCCTGTAATCACCCTCTGGTTGTTCTATTATACAGCAACTGAGACAAAAAGCTCAGTCCTCTCCCAATTCTCGACAAGACACACAGGTGAGAGTCTTACAGTTTTATTGTTCTCAGTGTTTGATCATTCAATGTGACTTTTTGTTGGACTTAACGCTATTGCATGCCTGCAATAGCTATTGCAGGCATATTGCACTTGTAGAACACTTTTTCCACTGTGTTTTTTGAAAAGGGCAATAAAGTATGTTTAAAATAAAGGTTGCTTGGCAAAATATTAAATACATCTAAACTGTGTTAAGCTTGAAAAGTCTGAAAATAATCAAGTTCAACACATTTTGGATGTATTTAATATTTCACTCGCTTTTGTTGCTGCACCTTACCACACCACACAAACACCTGCACCTTTCACTGTTTCACCGCTCCCGATATATTTTTAGTATATTCTAATATATTTTTATTTTCATATTTATAGATTATTTTATATTGTATATCTAAGTTTATATTTAAGTAATTTTTTTAGTTTAAGTGATTCCTACAGGCCACAGCAGCTGGGTTAAAACTACATACTAACACTCAGGATGAGGCTTCATCATTAGGTAATGATGCTGGTTGTGCCTAAAGGCGCTTAAGTTTATAATGTGCTTTTGTTGGTGCATGCAGTATTAACCAAATGTTCAGGTCATTAAATCACCACAAACTAATTTCCACACAGTTAACTTGGAGTCTTCAGGCCTCCAGAGACTTTACCAAGTTGGTCATTTAGCCTTGGCTCAAGCAACATTGAATCCATCCCCTATGTTGGGAACCACTGGTCTTAGGAGTATGCTTGTATGTGGATGTTAAGCTTCCAGTTGTGCTGTTACGCAGGAGGACAGTCGCCAAAGCTGGCCAATGCATGACTAACCTGTGAGTCTGTATAACATGAACTGGACCAGATCTGAAAGTTGTGAAAGCGCCCTTAGATAACGTTGTACTCGATTCCTGTAATCCTGGTAGAAATCATCAATCATCAATAATCAAAAACATAACCAGCCAAACAAGTGCATTTTGTATCTTTATGTTCATAAAAGAAAGAAGAAATGTAGATGTAGTTACAGTCGTCTACTGTTTCTACAGTAACTGATCAATTGTACCTCTTGAACTAAATGAGTGACAAGTGTCATTACACACCTGTATTACCACATTGGTGCCTTGCTGTACATGCATAATGTAACACCTGTAACTGTAAGGAGCAGCAGAAAGGCTGGGATGGTAAAGATGAGGAGAAAGAGGATGCTGTTGTATGTCACACTGATGTTTAGTTTCACAGCATAAGTCTTATTGAAATGTTTTTTTTAATCTGTAGTTTCGCCTCAGACAATAATTAAATCTTGCAGGAATTGCTCATTGGGAAAAAAATGCAAAGGAACAACACAAAAACTCAAATGTTCATTCACACTAATTTTGCTGTTTTCGAGATCAAAACGTTGTTCTCTTCATCAAGACTTTTCTTGGCTGAACGTGCATGGTCAGTCCCTCTTCGTGCACTTTCTCCCGCCTCTTTGTAACAGGAAGGAGAAAACAAGTGGGATGAAATGACAAACTGCACCTCGGCGCTGATGAGTAACTGTCACTCACCTCAAAAGAGGTTAACTCAGCGATGAGAGGGGACAGTGTTAGAGCTTGGGATTGGAAGAATATTAAATAGTGTTAATACTCCCACAGGGCTGAGCTGCTCAGGCTGAGTCCGTCTCCCTTCAGCGTGCCTCCCTTGTCTCCGCGCAGGTATTTGCCGTTCTTGCCACGGATGGCGAGGCGGCCATGTTCCAGGAGCTCCAGAGAGAAATCCTCAGGGGCCTCGCCGTCTGAGCATACCAGCCCAGCACTGTCCACGTACCAGAACCGGCCATCCACACCTACAGGGTTAAAGGGAAATATTCAGGTCAGACAGAGTAGAAATCTGCGGTTGATAATCTGCCCAAAGAGTAGAGCAGCAGAAGTTTGCCAGTGATTCAGTGTGGAATAACATCATGCATGCTAGCAATTCATATGATAGGATTTAATTAAATTCAAATCTGCTTTATTGGCATGAATGTATAACAACAGTGTTGCCGATTTAACTTAGGCGCCATGTTGGACAAAGTGTGTGCGTGTGGTTTGTTTGAGAGATGGGATTAAATGTTGCAGCGGGTAACATGCTGACTTTTAATATGGTAGGCCCCGTTACTGAACAGCAGGGTGAAAATGTCATAGACCGATCTGCTGGCGTCGAGTGTGTTGGAGTTCCTGTGATGGCAGATGAAGCCGTTCTCTCCTCTCAAGATCAGCATGGGTCGGTTGATCAGTTTCAAAATGAGCTGTTCATCCTCACCTAAGAAAACGTGACAACACATCAGAAGGAACACAAGAGAAGTCCAAGGCAGGGTCTGAGGGAGGAGGTACATTAGTGAGATAGAGAGGTAGAAGAGGAAGGAGGAGGAGAATGGGCTCTTACCTATGGAATCACTGACAGCAAGTAGCTGGCCATTCTTCTTGGTGCAAATGTATTTTCCATTGTTAGCTTTTAGTGCCACCTTGTGGCCAAGCCACTCCACTGAAAACATGGTGTTCGCTGACCTGCAGTTGTGCACCAAAGAGAGAAAATTAGACTTTACTCTCCTTTGAGTGCTCTTGGAAATATTGTGACGATTGTAAACATGCAAGACTAAGCAGACTGAAATTTCTATAAAATCACATTTGCCTTTGGGTGGTTGAGCTCATGTACTCAAACCAGTGATTTCTAATGATGTGCCATCTGATGCATGCTACTGTGCAACTATCCCTGTTATTTTCAGTCTTTCAGATTTTGTTGTCAGTCACCTCTATTTTCAATAGATATATAAATTCCATGGCTGACTTGCATTTTCAATGACACATTTTCTTGACTATTTGTGTTTATAACTCTTGAACTCAGAGGTCATAGTAGTAGTATAGATAGTGAGATAGTGAGGTAAGAGAAAGTCACTCCATTTTAGCTGAGGACATACTGTGATGGTGCAGAATATTTGCTTTTAAACCCATATCTGTGATATAAAATATAGCCTAGAACTGACAGAGACAATAGATGATGATGTTCCTTTTCACTCTGCACAATTGATATGAGAGCATTCACTCACACTTCAGTGGCAGTACTCTGGATGCCTCCGTGGGCCACCAGAGCCCAGTAGTTTCCTTGGCTGGTGCGGAACGTGCACTTCCTGGTTTCCTTGTCGATCTCCATCTGAAACGTCTCCATGTCTGTCTCATCTTCCTGATTGGCTGCAAGGCTTACTCCTAGCAGAGGCATAGCAAGCACGTCCTGTCATCAATACTTCAGCGTGAACTTGAGGACTATATAGAGTCTGGAGAAATCCATCCATTCAGTGCTGCCCACCATTTGTATTATTGATCACTTTCCATTTTAGCAATTGTATTGCAGTGTTGTGTGTTGAATAAGTGCAATTACTGCAAAACAAGTTGTGTTATTACAACTTTTAAGACTTGACATGAGAGTTAGTTGTATCAGGCAATGAACTTCTTCAAAAATACAAAATACATCTGAATAGGCTGAGTGTGCTTAAAACAAATTCCTCTACAGACCTCTTATTTCCTCCCTCTCTGGATTCTCAGTAGAAAGTCAAAAACCAACAGAGTCGTTTGGGAAGATCAGGTTGTATTGTTATGTTCAGCTTGGCCCAGCATGAAAGAGCTGGTAATCACGTCTGATCCTGGGATGTTTTGGTTGTTTTGAATTAGTTCCGTCTTAAACTGATGTGAATTGCCAAGCATATACCTTCCTGAGGGTAAATACATTTTCACTGATTGTGGTTCTGGATGCATTTATGGACAGAATATACTACACTAAATAACTAAATGTGCCCATGCAGGAAAATCTTATAGAGACGATCTATTGCACCCCAAATGTTTCTGACAATAATATATGTTCTCAGCTATACAGAGATAACACTATCACCATGAAGCTCTGCGTCAATTACAGACACAAGACAACCAAACAAAAGTCACACTGTTGACACACTTTGACCTTTGACACACTTAGAAACCAATTATTATAGCATTTTCAGTGCAAACCCATGAACCAGTGTTGGTGTCAAACATGGGAGATCCCACAATACTGCTGTTAATAAGAGCCGTAATTGCTTTTTAACACTGAACCAAACAATGGATGCAAAAGAGGCGTGATGTGAAACACAGCTCAGCGTCCCACCGGCTCCCCTGTTTTATACAGACCTCGATTCGGCTCTGTTACTATCTGCTGCCGCTTGAAGCAGTGTGACATCCCACGCCTCTCTGCTTTGACGGGTGGTTTGGCTTCAGTTTGAGAGGAAAACGGGCAGCTTTACTATTAAACTCTTCTTTATTTCAGAAGTCCTTTGTGATTTACGGGCCCTAACATCAAAACAAGCCACTGCAATATTTTCAGCTGTTAGCATTATCATAAATGTTGTCAGAGAAAAAAACAATTGTCTGCCACCACCAAGAGACAGATTGTAGAGAGCTAATTCCCACATCAGATGCATCCCTGAATATCCCCAATACATTTTCTTAATCCTTTAACAACGCAGATCTGTACTCCTCACCCCCCTCTCTTCTCTCCCTTCTCTCTACTCTGGTCATCATTCCGACCTTCCTCCCTTCCCCCATTTCCTCCCCTTCCCCCTGACCCCCTAAATCCCCACCTCCCACTGTCACCCCACCTCCGGCCCGGCCTATCTGCCCTCTTCACAGTGGGGCTCTGATATAATCAGCTTTCAAGTGCTACCCATCCAATCCCTCAATCCCCTCAATAAAATAATAAAGGACAAACAGGAAAAGACCAGAGGATTTTATGGTCCTCACTTAGCAGGATGTACAGATAATTACCAACCCCTCTCAACCCTCAAGCTAACGGAGCATTGTGTGATCACACATGCGGAAAACATGCTAAAAATGTAAATGCATTAACTAGCTGTGCTGTTTTATACATCTTTATGAACTCAGATTATACTGCTGTATAGAAGGTACTTTAATTTAACCAAAAAGAGCCAATCTATGTGACAACAATGCCTTATTTTTTTTTTTCAAATACTGAAACCCCAGAAATGATGATGATAACCTGCAAGTGGCTGCATCTGAGTCATACAAGGGTTACAAACAACACTACTACAATGAGTGTAAACAAGAGTGAATATAACAGACATGACAAGCTATGCTAGGTTCTGTCAGGCTGTATTTAGGCACAACGGTGCTTTGATTGAATGCTAACATGTTCGCTAAAGGTGTTCAGTACATTTAAGAACTAATATTTAACACAAAATTGTCCAGGTGAACTGACTATACTGAATCAAGATTGTCTGTGAACAAATCAGTAGCTTTTGGAAATGGAGCTCCACCAGCTGTGATACAGCATAATAACGTCCTCCTTAAAAGAATTTAGGCTTCAAACATTCCTACATACCTTGGGTCTCTAGCCACGCTTTACACTTTTTAGAGAAAACAATATCAATCATGAGACCAGAACATTGTTAAAATCAAATATTTTTGTTATTTGAATACAATTAATGAATTAGAGGGGGTGTAATATAGTCCTGGGTCGCTAAAGACCTGTGGTATACATTTAATTTAAAAGGCTTTGAAAGCCACAGAAACAGTCATGATTACTGTGTTGCAAACATGTACGGTGTTTGTGTAGGCCAAGTTTTCTACTGAACTGAACAGATCAAATCAACAAAGGGATTTGTGATTTCCACCGCCCACAATGCTAACAATGACCACTCAAGCATTTAGATTTTTAGCAGGTATGTTTGCTGTGTTCAGCTAATCATAGTGCAGCGTATTAGCATGCTAACATTTGCTAATTAGCACTAAACACAAATTAGAGCTAAGGCTGATGGTGATGTCATTAGATATGCAGGTTTGGTATAAACCAAGTATTGGACAAATTAAATGTTTGACCTTATGATGGCATTTGACCTTGGATATCCCTACAGGATTTTAATGGCGAACCAACCAATAGGCAACCAATAGAATAAACCTGAGCTCACTATGGTGGTTTAAGGCTACTGATGGATGCATGCATATAAATTACATCTGCATAATCCAACACAGATGCACATACATGTATAAGTTGAAAGCGCACAGTTACAGCCCAGTTTTTTTGACAGAAAAACCCCCAATTTCATTTCACATTTTTTATACCAGTTGTTCAGCCCTAGCTCATGGGTCATGACAGGTTAAATCCCATCTACTTTAAAATTATTTTGCTGTAATTTGATATTAGGCCGTAGATACAGACTGGAGCAGGGAGAAAGGGGATGGCATTCGACAAAGATGTCATGCTTACTGAGCTACCGGGACGCTTTAATAACATCTTATTCACACCTGATAAACTGGGTATCATAAGGTTTTACAACTGGTTAAATTATCATTGATCTTAAGTGCATTTGAAGCATACATTTCTGCCCCTCTACTCTGCACTTATGCCTGGAGGCCCATCACTCTGATTCTCTCATCCCGACTCAATGTCATGCTTTGTCTACCTATTCCATATGTCCATTTCACACTAATTCAACCCAGAAATGATCCTCTGACAGGGCTCAGCTGGGACCTCACAGCCGATATCTGATAGATGAAAGGAGAGGAGACAGAGGAAGGAGAGAAGGATGAAGGAAGATAAAGAAACAGAGAATTGGGGGAGAAAGAGATTAGATATGCTGAAATCCAAGCCAGCAATCTGATGATATCAATGGCTGTGTTGATGACCATCTTTGACACACCAGTTGGTCAAGCATACGAAATAAGATGTCATCACGATCATGATCATTGATTAACTATTCAGTGTAGCACAGTACACTCTTCAACAGTACACTCCCTGGTACACAGACCCACACAAAAAACACACATGGGTAGCATCAGCAGTGGCACATTTTGGATCACAACCCAGATCCAGCTCCCCTTTCTGATGTTGTCCTACCTGCAGCCTGCAAGTGGAGCAGGTCCAACTAATCCATCAGCAATAGATGGCTCTGACATCTATTATTAATAGTAAGCTGATACTACCATCCCCCTGTTCCTTATTTTCCTCTTTCTCCCATACCTTTATCCTTCACAACTGCATTCTCTGTTGTTTTTTTATTTCAGTCCTTTCACTTTTTTTCCTGGGCTGTGTGTGTGTGTGTGTGTGTGTGTGTGTGTGTGTGTGTGTGTGTGTGTATTTGTGTGCATGTGTTCACGTGTCACGTTTTGACTATCATCTCTTTTTCAGACCACTTAGACCCGAGGAACACAGTGAGATGATGACAGATGAAGACAAGATGACAGATCTACATGCTAACACACACACACACACACACACACACACACACACACACACACACACACTACAGGCAATAAAAAACAACTCAGGGCAGACAGAAAATACTGCATCTCATTGCTGTATACAAAACCTCTCTAACACTTTTATATCTAAAGTCATGCTCTAGTACATAACAGCTGACCCTCTGTGATTACTAACCCATTTACTACATACCCACTTTTAAAAATATAGCCAACATGACTCCTCTGCACTAAATAGAGCAGGAACAAAGGTGCAAATTTATGTGTAAAGGCACAGGTGACATTGGGGAGGATGAAGAGCCCGCCTGCCTCCACAAATAGTCCTATTGTCCTAAAGTCCTTTGAGAGTTGTATCCTCCCTTCTCTGCTTTCCATTTCCCCCTTTTCCTTTAATCATCATGTCAGACGCAGAGGTAGAAGGTAACAATGTATTTACAAGAATTTTGAGGTACTAGCATTTTCCATTTTGCACTTTTGTCCCCCTTTTAGTCTGACGTAATGATTCAACCTTTCACCTAATATAATTTTTTTTCAATGTTTGTTGCAAACTACCATCCATTCTCCCTTGTTTCGTTCAGTGGTACCAGGTGTTCACACTGCATGCAACATAATCAGCAAATTGCTGGCAAGTTGGGAAACCAGGGAAAGTTAGCTAATGCTTCCACTTATAAGAAAAGTGGTTAATTCACTGAACAGTTTTTACATGTCAATAGCCAGTCTGTTGTGTGAATGCAAGCTTTAATATTTACTCATATAATTTGGGATTCTGCAAGTGCAAGATAAATTGTTGATTTGATGTATTAAAAACTGCTGATACGTGCTGATAATAAATCTCGTCTTGTACCTTGATGTGACCGTTTCGCAGTGTCATATTTTGCTAACTACGGCATACTGACACGCTCGTTAACTGATCAGTACTGACTGATGTGCTGGGGGTTGGCAGGTTAGACTATTGGTTAGAGTGGGACTTGGAGGGGCTGAAGCTTTTGCCCCAGGTGAGAGGCAGCTTGGGTTTCTGAAAGCAGACTCCCTCCCTCGCCTTCCAGGAACAGGGGCCAACTTCATCAATAATTCAAAACACCACCTCACCACTCGCCGCAGCAGGACGGTATGGTTGTCTGTGGGCGAGTGTATCAGAGAAAGATAAAGCTTTTGTTTGTGCAGAACAAGTGTAGGAAGAGAGGGAGAGAAAGAATGTGAGCATGAGGCAAGTATTTCTGTCTGTGCATACATTTGTACTTGAATTTATACACTGTATGTTCTAATCCTGCACCATCTCTTTCCTTTCCCTTCAACCAATCAGTTTACTGTGCTCCCAGTCATTTGGTTTCTGCCCGAAACTCCCACTGCTAACCAGGAACAATGAGCGGGGAGAGATTCAGTTACAGCACCCAGGGCTGAAGTAACCCGACCCTGCAGACAAGAATCTGCAGCCTGTGGATGGGTGTCATGGCCAAGTATGCTGACAAGCTATGTTAGTGTATGCTAATCCACCCCAAATCCAGTTTCAAATCAGACTGGCAAAAGATTTCGACCATCAGCAACTGAACACTTGGTAAATCCCGTAATGCACTTCTGTTTAGATGAAACGTGATCATCACAATCACAATCCTTCTAGTTTTTTCACTGATCAAAGATATTCAATGTGTTTTGCAGAACAAAACAACAACTTTGAAGCCGATATAGAGCAGATATAATCCATCAGTATAGTAGGGTGGTGTCATGGCTGCATGCTGATCAAATAACGCACTCCAACAGCCCTGTCACAAGACCGAAGAGTAAATACATAATACAGTATCAACAGAGCCGCATATAGGTTACAGGCAGCTGTTTCAGAAAGCCCAAGGGGCAACAGCGTAGACTGTAACACCATTACCCAACAAAGCCAGAAGGCACATTTGAGAGTGAATGAAAGGGGATTTTCAAAAGATCACCATTTATGATAGATTATTTGGTAAAATGTTTTTATTATATTTGCTACATTTTAGGGTATAACAGGGTATATCCAATATTTCAGGAATACAAACCCTTCTCTGACAACATTCATTTCTGGAACATTAAATCTCATTCATGAAAAACCCATTGCAAATTGCTGTTGAGGTCTATTGCTGTAGTTATTCCCAAAATGTGTGCACAATACCTCTGTTATTTGACCATATCACTCATCAGTGTAAGACTTAAAACTGACAGTGGACTAACCTAAATCAATAGCAGCCCTAAAACAAATGACGTATTTGTCTCAGCTCTCCCAGATGAGGCTGATAGTCTCCCATATCAGCTTCATCTATCTTGTTTTCCTGGAAAAATGCCCCTATCCGATGTGATATCCATGCATGTTGATGTGCAGACTACATTACCCATAATTACCATGCATCCCTTATCAGTTGTCAATCGTCAGAGAGTGGCCTATTCCCTTAGCCACGCATAATCAGCATGTCCACCAAGTTAATGTACTTCCTGTAAATTGTTATCTGGGGGTGTATCAGTGCACAGTGTGCATTGTATATACCCTATATATAGGGTAGTAGTGGTAACTGTAGTAGCTGTAGTATTACTGCCTCTCTGCTTCATTTTGCATGTGTGTAGGTCAGTGTGTGTCAGATAAAGGCTCGTGTGACCACCCTCAACGGCACATAAGGTCAGCCATCGTCCATTAAATCAGACATTTGGGATTCTGTGTTATGGAGCCTAGAAAGCTGCAAGCAGGGGTGTAGTACAAAATTCTGGACCCTGTGCATAGACATTAACTATGGGCCCTTCCCCGCATCCTGTTATTCAATCTAGTATCATTGTGGGCCCTCCTGCATCCATGCAAGGCTTCAAGGCAAAATCAGTTTTCTGACAATATCATCTCCTGCTGATGTGTCTGTGTTTTCTTACCTTGTCTTATGGAGACATATCGCCCATTAGCTGTCATCAGAACCACCTGTGGGTTGCTCTCCTCTAGGTCAAACAGTTCATCTTTGCCTGGCTTGGAGCATCGTCCAGACCTCAGGGTGCCTGTAGGCCCCATGGGAGACAAATACTTCCCTTCACAGTCTTTAAAGGCCAGCTTCCCACACTTCAGCTCCAGCGTGTAGGCCGTGGCCTTCCCACACTGCGTCAAGAGCTTTCCGTCATTGCTGAGAAAGCGGCTGTCGCAGGTCTTAAGGCAGTACTTCCCATCATGGTACACAAGAGTCAGGAGTGCTGCCACACCCCAGGGAATGTTCACATTCACAGCAATTTCCCCATCCTCGGTAGAGAGGTGGGCGTAACGTTTGCGGGCCACAGACAGAAGGTTGGCTTGCGGATGTAGAGCCAGGCGCGCTGCCCACAACTCGGCATCTGTGATTACCTGGGCAAAGCAGGACAGGTAGTCCCGAGAGCCACCGAAGAAGCGGAGGTGCTGCTCGGACTGAAGAGCCCAGCGACCGTCTGATTGTGCCACGATGAGGAAGCGGCAATCTGAATTGTGCCCATCAGCCTCACAGGTGACTTTGCCATCCTTGTCAGAGGCCAGGTACCGTCCCAGGTGGCTGCGCAAGTAGACCACCTGGGTGTCCTGAGAGTCCTGCTCTAGAGTCCATATCTGCTTCTTCTTTAGGCTGGGAGCTGACGCATTCACCTGAGACAAGAAAATGTTCCAACAAAGAGTGAAGGTTTTTCATCCTTAGTCTTATGATCTATGTGCAACAAACCTGGCAATTAAATGCCTGTAGCGTCTGCCTTAAGAAGACAGCTCTATGATACCAACAGTCATGCAAATGTGTTACAGTTCTTCTATTACATTGGATGGCGTGTTTGTACCTTGAAGCCAAAGGTCTCAGCAGTGAGGTAACGACCCTCATGGTTGATTAGACCAAATTGCAATTTCAAGGGACTGTTCCCATTAGCAGGCATCTTCACCTGTTGAAGGAGATAAAGGGCTGAGACAAGTTAAGGATGGGGAAAAGAGTGAGAAAGAAGGTATAGAGCTGTAAATAGACCTGAAATGGGGTGCAGGAGTGAGGATTAGGCACAAAAAGGGGGGGGGGAAGCTTTTTTTTTAAAGAGGTGAGGAATAAGGAAGGATATGAAGTCATGGAGAATGATAAAATGAGAAAGTCTTAAAGACAGGAAATCAATTCATTTAGGTATAGTATATAAAGCACTCCCAAAACCACAAATTCCTTCCCCCACCCATGGCTTCATTATACATTTTTCCAGCTACAGGCTCCTAATTTACTTACTGTGGTTTTGTGGCTTCCCCTCTGCAGTTTCTGCGGCTCTAATTCCAGCTCCCGGACTTAAGAGGCTTCTTTCACCGAGCGTCCTCTTGTAATTCTTTCTCTCCCCTCCTTCTCTCCCGTTCTGTTGATCGGGTCTCCAGGCTCCCCTCCACCACTACCGCTCCTCAGCCTAATCAGGTTAGAGGCAGGGAAGACTTGAGTCAACCTTGATCTCTCTTTAGTCCAGCATCAACCTCTCTTGCTCCGTAGTCTAATTTTGCTCTTGACTGCTTATCTCCACTGGAGTCAACCCCCCTTTCTCTCTTTCTCTTGTTAAACAATGCTCTCTCATCCACCCTCACTATTGTTCTTGCTTGACTTGTTATTCCCTCTGAAGGCTTAATCACCTGGCCCCTCCTGACTAGTCCTCCCTTGGGTTTTTGTTTTTGTTCCTCCTTTGGCTCCTTTAGCTCCTACTATCTTTGGATCACATCGAATGCTCTGACCCTCGTCTTCACCTTCCTTGAAGTCCAGTTTCCTCGTCTGTCAGACAAAAGTTTGATCAGTGAAGAAGAACATCCTCAGCGGTCCTGCAAATTTTATGGTAGCGCATTGATGGACTCCTTTACTCCTTCCCTAAACATAAGCCGTCCATCACAACTGAACTCAGCAACAAAGGGTGCTTGCCTCTGTAATCTTAAGCTTCTCTCTGTCGCTTTTTCCTCCCATCCTCTCCTTCTCTTGCTCTGCCCTTTTCTCACCTGCCATGTGTATAATCCTGCCTTTCTCTGCCTCTGCGCTTTATTCTGAGCTCTGCACTTCGGCTCTTTCTGTGGCACATAAAGACAGGTACATTGAAACAATGCACACACACATACACACACAGTGCTGGGTAACCAGAGCACTCCCTGTGCCTTTGGGGTAGTTGCCTGAGTGAGGCTCCACTTACTTGCCTATGCTGGGGGTTTAGTTACACACCTTCTCTGATTGCAAGCTGTCTGGGTCAGTCCTAATGGGAAATGTGTCTGAGAGGCCGAGGGAGTTGGACTCCTCTGAATTTGGGAGACAAACGAAGGGAAAGGAAATGACAGGTGAGCTAATCAACATATGGGGGTTTGAATGAATGTGTGTGTGCAGCATGTGTGTGTGTGTGTGAGTAATCAACCTTGCCAATCAGCCTATAAGCCTTCTTTGCAGAGTAAACAGACGTGTCTGTTCCTGAATCCATCTAATCCTCAACCCAATCATCCCAACCCGGCTAATCTACCCCCCAGCCCCACTCCCACACACACACACACACAAACACACAATACCCCCTCTGCCTGTCCATGGCTATAAACATATACATAGACTCACTGACCCACAGCAACTACACCACACACACACACACACACACACACACACACACACACACACACAAAGGTCAGAAGAGAGTCCCAGGGTTCAAACACCACCCACCCAAAGATTTACTCTTCCTGACCCAGACTTGAACTGTTGCACTTTACATAAAATGTGAAAACAATGTGTCACACGCCTACACACAAACACGGACACTGAAGGACGTGAGTGCTGTAACTGAGTGTGTGAACACTAAACTAAACGACATCCCACATTTCTGAGATGCTGACTTGAGATCAGTTTTCCTGTTTCAAGTCTGAAACTTTGCTATGATAAGTAGTGTTTATTAAAATGTGGACTCTTCACATCAGTGCATATCAATTGTTAATAAATGAAAATATTTAAGGACAATTTATTCAAATTTTCTGGGTAAACTGATTTTGTAACCAACTATTTAAAAATCAACAGCTAAATTACAATAATGACAAGTAGTTGTGATTAGTCACTATGCCACCTGCCATTGAAACTGACTGGTACAAGTAAGTGTACAATTTCTTCTTCCGAGGGGCGTCCGCTGCAGAAAGGTGGTCAAGCACAGTCCGATGTGACCCCTGAAAACTCATCTTCAAGATTTGAGAGTTTTAGGTTTCCTCTCAACATGTAGGCTACAGTTCAAACTAGGACATTAAAGGGCGATTTAACGGCATTAGCAAGCTACAATAAGGTGGCAGTTTCACACCTACTTTATGAAGTCCATCAGGACAAAAACATTTGAAGGACTCTCCAATCTACCTGTCTGTTCATGAACACATATAATGATGTGGATAAATTACTTCACTATAAACGTATTGCTTCCCCACCTTGCTACCGTGTGATTTGTGTGTTTGGACTAGCGGACGTCACGGTGTTAGCTAATGGGGATCCTAATAAACAAATAAAATCCTTAGAAAAAGGAGGTGGGAGGAGGAGACAGACACAGTGCTCACAAATCAAAAAGAGTAATATACTGTTACTGTTATCAGTGCTATTATTTTCATTACTATCACTATTAAATCACTAGTATCACTATTACTGTACTTCCTCCTCATATGTATCCTATCCCACGCATCATTAGCTCACTCTCTGTGGCCCCCGGGGGCCACGTCATTGTCTGCTGATGTGCAGACGCTCCCTGCTGCCGTCGGCACGGTGACGCCTGCCCATAGCCAACCAGATGTTTTTTTTCTCTACCCCTTATTCGGGGACGGCGGCTGTGCCAGGTTCACTGTGGCAACCGTGGGATGGTGCTTTAGAAGCCATTACAGCGGTCCTCTGATGACACTCAAATAGCTATCATTACACCTCCTCCAAGGAGATAGAGACGGAGGAGGAGGGAGGGAGGGAAGTGAGAAGAGGAGGGTGAGATGAGGCAGGGAAGGAGGAAGGAAGGGTGGATGGGAGGAGGCAAGGGTGAGGGCTAGGAGGAGAGGAAAAGGCAGTGGAGGCAAATGAAGAACAGGGAGAGGCAGGTGAAAGAGAGGAAAATAAGGGGAAATAGCTGAAAAGGTGCGCGGTGGGAGATGGGTTAGGGTGTAGGGGGACGAAGGGAGAATCGGAAAATTACACAGGCAGGCAGGGATGGGAAACAAGTTAAAGATATAGAAGGTGCGGATGAGAGGGAAGGGAGTGTCTCAGAAAGAGAACGGGGAATTCAAAATGACCGTTTCTGAGTTAACAGCCTCCAGCCTTTTTCTACCCTATTAAGTTCTATTCTGCCATTACTTGGGACTGCGGGGTGCTGCCTCACACCCCACAGTGCCCCCCCCCCTACTCCTGCAGACACCCCCCTCCTGCACACACATCAACAAATACACACAGTCTCCCTTCCACTCTCTTTCTCAGTTTCCTCCTCCAGTCATCCTCTTCACCCTTTTTATTCTCCTTCAAGTCTCCCACCCTCTCCTCTCTCTCGTCCTCACTTCAATTCCAGAGGTTGTGAGCTGAATGAAAGAGAGATCAGCTGGATCAATCTTTGAGTCCACTGGTTGTCCTTGTTATTGCTGTTGCACAAGCATGCCAAAACAAGCTCTAACGGTTTTTTGCTGCTGTCCAGCTTTGTTCACTTCTTTGTCTGTTTCCTTCCTCTCTTCCCCGACACATTATGAGTCAGTTTCAGTGAAGATGAACTCATATCAGGACCACATTTGTATAGGGACACTGGGAGTATAGATTACATTGCAACAGCTTACCCAATTAAACATGACTAAGGGTTGCACAAGAAAAAAACTAGTTTGACGACCATGTCGGAAATCAAAGAGAAAAGGAAAACTCAGACTTTGTTTGACTGCTTTTTCTGAAGTGTAAAGGTCTCTGCTGTATTGGGTGAAAAAACGTGCAAAAAATTGTTTACATGTAAACTTAAATCCTGACACTATACTCAAATGTCTCGTACTTACCCTAAATTCACAACAGAATACACAACATTTGTAAGGTTTGTAAGAAAACAATAGAAAAGACTCTTTGTGCCGGCCAGATCATTCTCTCTTAGCCTGTGTTTTGTTGAAGACTTGGATAAAACGTTTTTACAAGTGAAACCTTTCCTTCATGTCTTACCACCTTGTCCTCCTTTCCTCATCAACACACCTCCATTTCTTTGCTCCTCCATCTCTTCTCATTATACACTGGAGGACATCTCAGACTTTTAACAAGAGAAACTCGACCCAAAGGGAACAATATTATATAACAAACAATAATAAATGAACAATATTATAACATATCCATGCAGAACATACCACGTGTCTTCATTCTAAAATCAATACAACTATTCATTTAGGAACTGCAATAAGAAAACAAACGTTTTAATCGCTGTTTTCTACTTTGGATGCACTTGAAACAGTTGCATCCTCACAAACACACGCACACACACTTTAGACTGGCAGGCTGTAATTCCCAAAGCCACCACTGAGGGGCGATGTCAGCCTTCTACTGTGGCTTCTTTATGAGAACCTTACCTATATATTTTTTGGAGGTTAAAAAAAGAGAGAGAAGATTGATGTTTGGTAAGACACTGTTGGTGCCTGTGTGACTGCATAGCGTAGGAGGGAAGGACTTTAGTGCTATTTAAAATGGCTGCTTTTAATGTATTCTGCTTTTGAGGGGGACTTCGCAGAAACTGAAAGGCGTCAACATCACGTGAAGCATTATCAATTGTAAGACATCAGTGCAATTAAAAACAGAGGGCTGGGAGGGGGGATTTTCCCTGTATCAATAATTTCCAGTCACCTTACCCGAATCTGTTTCTCTGCCGTGGAGCCTGAGCCTAAAGCGGGCTTTACATGGCATAACAGGAGCATGTTTGACCCACAATTTTAGAGC